GCGCGCGTCACGCGTCGCGCCAACGCTTTCCTTTTTCTTCCTCTCGCTCCGTTTTCTTTCCTCTCGCGATTTTCTTTTTTTACTTTTCTCGAACGTTTTCGACCGCGTTCTTCTATCGTTTCTCCTCTCCACACGATTCGCCCTGTTTCCCCGTCGTTGCCTGTTTTTGCGCTTTTTTTACCGGCTCGCGCGCGCGCCGGCTTTTCTACTCCACTCGCTTCCGGCTTTTTCGTGCCTCCAGTTCGAGTTCGAGTTTCGCCTGTCCGCGGGCATCGCGACGCTCCGCGAGCGACTGCAGCCGCCACGGATCAACAGCTCGAAGAGGGTTGCTCGAGAAACAACGCAGGTTCGTTGTCAAACTTCTTTCTGAGGCCTCCTTCTACGTTTTTCTTTATCGATAGCATTTTTTCATAGATGGTAGTCGATCGAATGTTTTGGGTTTCATAGAGGATGATTTTCAAACATGGCTTACCAAAGTTTTTAATATTTTTACCATAGGTTTGATCCTAATAGCCATTAAAAAATTTACATTGCATGTTTGCAGTTTTGAAATATTGTAAACATTTGATTATCGATATAATTTTTTCGTTGCACGATCGTCTTCCTTCTGAATGATTCAGAAATCAACCTGTTTGAACAGATGCTTACGCGATCTGATTAATTAACGATTTCTTGCTCGTTATCGATTTTGATTTATTAGCGCGCGATACGAATCCTTAATCTCGTGAATAATCTACTCGCATAATCGAATATTACAAACATTACGGATAAATTTAACAACGTGTCGATTACATAAGTCGATGACTTATTTTATTTATCGTGGCTCGAACAGAGTCGAATGAGTACACTCAGTCTGGATTCGTAAGACACCCTTCATAAGTTTTATTATATCTACATTGATTTACAACTACACGTTATATCACAACCTTGTGTAGCTTATCTCATACTTGTAGAGCCATGTATTATTTCCACACATTATATCGCTTCGCGTTATATCACCTGGTGTAAGGTATGCGTTGTATTACGAATTGCATAGTCGATTGTATCACCAATGCTGCAAACCTCGCATTATATCACCACTCATAACCTCTCCCCACAAAGTAAACGTTGTCGACTATACTTACATCGATTATTTGAATAAAAAGCAAATTAACGCGTGGGTTAATGAAACACCCACGTCTCTGACGACTGTTTTCGCAATCGGTCGGCTAAAAGTGGAAAGTTATCGTAGGTGGCTACTGATCGACTAAATTTAGCGTATTTCGATTGATTCAATTAGCTCGAAGAAATCGCATGGAGCACTCGAGCGGTTATTTCGAATCCAAATACACACAATTTCAAAGTGATTCGACAAATATTTGCTATATATTTACTCTGACAAATATTAAAATGTTTGAACATAGTAAACGAACATGACGCTAGATCCGAGCTAGTACATTGTTCTCGAGAGATAATATAAACAAATTTGACACGGTATAAATATTGAAGTTTACGGAAACTCACCAATAAGTCGGATCAGAACCGTGTTTTTGTTACCTGCGTTAAAATTAGACAAATCAAACAAGATCGATAACGTTTAATTGTAAGTACAAATGTACACGTACAATATTTATCTATACCTGTAACATCGATAACTCTAAACATCCACGTAAATTCACTAATATTTACGATCGAATTAAAACATATTGATACTCGTGTCAATCGAAAGGCTAACTTTGATAATTAAAATCGATCTATCAATGAATACGAGTACTATTATTTACTTGTTTACTTTGTACGATATATCCCTTTAATATTTGACCATCAAAAAGTAGGGTTAGCGATAAATGTTTCTCATTAAATTCCAAGAAAGTCTTCACCGATTTACCAATCGAATTTCTCCGTTAAACTCGCGCCCCGTCGCTCGATCAGCGTCGATTAATCGTTTATCACGTCTCGAATAATTAACTGTCCGTGGCCCATGAATATTAAACGCGCGTAATAAAAAGAGATCGGATTTTCGGCAGATAATTCGGTTAGCTTAACTCGATCCGTCGCTTCATTCGCTCTGATGCCGCCGCTCCAAAGCTCTAAGTTCATACTGCTGATCATCCCTTCATTTTCCAACAAATTTTAGAACATTAAATAAATTTTAGTCAAATTATATTTTCTCTAAAAAAGCGACGGATCGTGAATAGTGTTCCATGTTGAATTTATTTCAGATTTAAAATATTGTCAGGAGAAACGTCGTAGCATGGAATAATTATCAGCCAGGGCCTGGTCCCTCGTAATTCGGCTCTAATGCAACTGATAAGCGATAATTCGTGATAACAGGCATGTGCATCGATCGAGAGGCAACCTTAAAACTCCTACAAAATATTTAGTGCCTGGAAAAAATATGCGTGATATTCTTGTTTAGATTTGGGAATTTTGGGATATGGGAACTTGGAGATTTGGAAATTTCTGAATTTAGTAATTTGAGAAATTTGGAATTTCAGAATGTGGGAATTTGGGGATGTAGGGATTGCCATATGTGGAGAGTTGGGGATGTAGGGATTTGGATGTGTGGAGATTTGGGAATGTAGGGATTTGGATGTGTGGAGATTTGGAAATGTAGGGATTTGGATGTGTGGAGATTTGGGGATGTAGGGATTTGCATGTGTGGGGATTTGGACATGTGGAGATTTGAGAATGTAGGGATTTGGACATGTGGAGATTTGGGAATGTAGGGATTTGCATATGTGGAGATTTAGGAATGTAGGGATTTGCATATGTGGAAATTTGGGGATGTAGAAATTTGGATGCGTGGGGATTTGAACATGTGGAAATTTGAAAATGAAGGGATTCGAACACGTGGAAATTCAGGAATGTAGAAATTTAGACACGTAAAAATTCGATAACATAAAAATTTGTACACGTGGAATTTTGAAACTGCAAAAATTAAAAAATGTGATCCTTTCAAAAGCACCAAGATGATCCGCAAATCGTTTACAGTCACTTTAGTACCACTTATTATCCGCAACAACCATAAGAGTAACCCCCTGCAAGACCGTTTGTTTTCGTTCTTGCGGTTGCTCGATCGTAAACACCATAGGATTATCTTCATGGGACACGCCATCGCTGTTTCTTTCCTCGCGGTTCAAACTTAAACACAGAAAGAAATCCGGATTTTCCGAAGGCTCTTTTTTATTGCCCTTATTTCAGTGCACGAAGATGACGCTGTTTCGAAGGATTCATCCCTTGCTAATGGGGTGGTACGTAACACCATCCGTTTACGTGATTATCAATTGTAATTCCTAATCTGTAGATTAAAGTGAAGGATTATCAGAGTATTTTAGTATTATCGTCTTAGAAGGACCCTTCGAGTACATTTTTCTCTTCGACATAAAAAATGCTGTTAACAAAAAATTCAACCTATGGCAGGTTTTTGCATATTCTTTTATTAAAACATATAAGGGTGTTTTTTATTTTAACTTCTCGGGTTTTAAACAATATTACGAGTAGCAGGCATTCTTTTCTATCATAAAAATGAAATTGACAACAAATATTTATTTGATCTTTCCAGTAGCATCTGTTACGAAAATCAAATTAGCAATAGTTATTATTTCCTCATGAAAATGACCACCAATTTCGCATCTCCAGTCCGTTATCAACGGTGTTAATAATAAGAAAAACACGAATGGACCACCCAAGGAGGTCCAGGTAGAGCCATCCTTCAGAACCTGCTCCTTCCTCGTTTCATCCTCGTCTCATCCCTCTCCTTATAAAAATGACAAAACACTTTTATCGACCCTTGACTCACGTGTTTCGGTGCTTCCTTTGCTCGAACTTCCAAAATTCGAAAACCGGCAAATCCAGAAAATTGGTGAACTGGAAATGTCTACCGAATAATTCATCAAATTACCCCTAATTTGGAACGGAGAATAGCGTGCTCGAAAAAAAAAAGAAAAATGGTAGAAAGTCGACGAAAGGGAAGAGTGAATTCGTCTTTGTTCGAATCGATCGCGGTCGCGATACGCGTAATCTAGGTCAAATAGCAAATCGTTATTTAATCGTAGATTAAGGATCGCTACTAATCGAAACAAACAGCACTCGATTGCGCACTTGTGCTCGAAACGTGGATCGCTGGGAGGGAGTGATTTGTTGTAACGAAGAACCGGCGCGCTTGGCACAATGTAGCTAGCCCACTTGTTTACAGGGACAATATTTTCATTCCGCAAACAATTGGTGGCTCGATAAAGACCCGCTGTACAGGTGGGTGCTCGGATCTAACGTTGTAACGCGCCGCCTGTTCGTGAATGGCCTCCTGTACATGTGTGTGTTTACGAATCTCTCGAGTAAAGTATTAGCCGACTCTAAACGCTTGAATCATCGAGTTGTATGCCTTCGATTCGTCGGCCCATCACTTCCTCGCGATAGTTTACCGCTTCTTTTTTGTCCTCCTACGCTTTCAACTTATAAGAATAAACTGTTAATCAAAAAGGACCAATTCACTTTCTTCTTACAAATAAATTAAATTATAAATTAACACTTCGCAAAAATGAGTACGAATATAGGCAATTTATGAAGAGGGTATGGAAGAGTAAGTGGGTGCAGGAATTGAGTCACTCAAAAAACGATACACCCGCGTGTGCTTTATCGTTCCCGACGAGTTGCAGACCTAACCCTAGGACCAGTCACGTGCTGTGCGTGCCTCGTCGAGCTTTTCCCAGATTTGCAGCCCTCGAATTGTCCGACGGCCTATCTTCGACGAGGAGGACCCAACCACCCCATTGGATTCGGTTGAGGCAAAAATAATAGACTCGTCGCACGTTCTCGAGGATCAACGATCCTTCACGATTAAACTGCACAAAAATAACCTAAGATTCTAGGTTAGTGATTTGCCAGGATATCAACTTTTTTCGCGTCTGCAGAAATTAATTCTTGAAGTGGATTTTTATTTTGAATGATAAGAATGATGGTGCTGGTAAAGATGATTTATTTAACTAATACAATATTACAATTCATTTCATTTTTAATACAAAAATATAATATTTTATATAACAATATTAAGTTAAAATTATTTAGAAAAATTACTAACTATAATACCAAGCTAAAATTTTCAAGAAATATCGAATGTCCATCATAAGGGTTGTAACGATATTCATGATATGCCATGGCACGCTTTTTCCCCAATATTCCCGTCCATGTCTTGTCTTTTTTCCCGTAGCCAAGTAGGCGGACTAGTGTTTTCCGGACGTGACCTAACCGCGGATGCACCTGATTTTCCGTGATTTGGGTCGACTCTCGCGAAACATTGACTTCTTGATCCTAGGGCCGGTTTGTTGTTCGTAAAGTCTTGAAACAACAAACCCCTTGGGCGAGAACCGTCGTAAGCGCGTGACAGGTATTTCTAGTTCGACGTGTGTCCTTTTCGACCCGGTGAAATATTTTTCTAGGTCGGATTTCGGCTGACGAGATTTCGGGGATGAAAACTGACGTTCCCGTGATTGTTCAGGGGTGGCTTTGGATCTAGAAAAAGAGACAGAAATTATTTTGCAGACGTTCTTTATGTTACTTATTAAAAGCTTCCACAAGATATAATTAATGAATTATTTGCTGAAAATATTTATAGTTATTTCTATCACATTTCATAGTAAATTCGTAACGACAGCAAAACCTAATTCAAGTCCAGCAACCTTGGGTTTTTCCTAAGGCAGGAAAATTAGTTTTGACCCGATTATACCGGTGCTTAATGGGGTTCACACGTTCCCGTTCGTTCTTCTCTCACGCAAATGTTGTGACAGCGATTTACGAAGTCACAGGCTAAGATTTGCACGAGCTTAACACCCTTCGACCACTCGGTTCAAATCTGCACTTTCATTGTTACATTTCCCCAGAATTCCACAGCTGCTAAGTTAGAAATATTTTCAAAATTTTGAATATACAACTTTCCCTTATTTTACGATTATATTAATAATCGCGTTAACTAGTTGATAGCAGGATTAAATTGATACTGTATCAACTGGTGGGTGATGCCTGTAAGTGTGCCAAAAACTTGAAGAAAGAAAGAGTTGAGCGACGATTATGGCAATATAAATAGATGAGAGCTGTTCGATCTTGGGGATCTTGAATCGGCTCGCGTCGCTTGTTTGTCATTCGTGGCAAATCGGTAAATATTTGCAAGTAATAACCGAGCCGCTTGCAGGATCAATAGAACACAATTGCGAGAGACAAGGATGTCTGCAGACATTGAATCGTTTCGCGACGATCCCTCGAATCGTTTGCGCAAACTTTTTAACCGGTAAACGCTGAGTTATACTCCGAGATGAAATAAATAAAATCATATCGTTTCTTTACAAGAATTATTACATAATCAAAACAATCTCTAAACAAAAGAAGTTCGATGAAGCATTAAAGATGTCTGCTGTCTCCTAAGAGGGTTAAACTGGCCCATAAGATCACGACCAATGTTACAAATTTTTTGATCAATATTCCTGTAATTACCAATATATCTGACCCTTACAAAGTTACATATTTTTGTGACCCAATGAATCACTCAGATTCCAGAAGTGAGGAACAAAAGAGTCGTAAATCGTGACTCAAAGTGTCAAAGATAATGACCAACAGATTCGACAGTTTTCTTTATGATCTTGTTTACTAGACTCGATGACCCATTAGTCAGAATGACCCAAAATGGTCCTGATACGTCAAGCAAGCAATAGTATCTTATTTGATGCCAAAGTACCATGGCACGAAAAACATATTAGTCACGTGAAACTTTAAACCTTGAAATTCACGTACCCATTCTACCATTAATATTCAATAAAACGCCTGAATCATGTCTTTTCATGTCACCAAATTGCAAAATCCGAAAATTGCAAACAGAACCATAAAACATAAACTGGGGTTCGTGTTTTATTGTTCGCCGTGATTGCGTCACATCACTTTATTGCCGGAACAAGAAACTCTGGCCGTTTCCCTTTTTCCCTTTTCCGGGATGCAGGGTGTCTTTGAAGGGTCCGATGGCGCAAAGCGCCGCCATCGTAAATCGATTATCGTTTTACTGCAGGATTTTTCGTTCCCGTTCGCGCGTCCACCTCGGTTCCCTCTTTCGTTGTTTCAAAAACCGGCCACCTTTTTACCTGACGCAGGTACTTACAGGCCGTTTATGGCATCCTCGTGAAACCTATCGTTCTTTCTGCGAGTCTCGTAACGCCGATTATGTGGCAGACGATGCGTCGGAACCACGAATATACGATCGCGAGCGTAATTTCGCATTACGCCCGTATTATCGGTAATTCTTGCTACCGCCATGTTCGGACAGGGTAAATAACCCTGAGGCCTTTGATCGATAATGCGAGTGGTATACGTGCCGACGAGCTGCCCTATCGAACGCTATGATAAGATTTTTTTAAACATTCTTTCATTCAAAATCGTTTTCCTTTTTTATCCGATCATTTTGGACAAATGTTTCTACATAGACACAATTTAATTCATCCGCATTTGCGTTAAACTTGTTCAAACCTTCACTACTTCAAACCATCACATCTTTAAACCAACATCAAACCATAATTTCAAACGATTCGCTCCTAACATTCCACAGTTTAAATTCATAATTTTGTACAAATACTTTTATCGTTCAAATTACCCAGATCTGTTTGCTGTATACTTCGAATGCATCACAGATTACAGAAGACAGTAAGAAAGTAAACGAGATAAACAAAGCAGATAGTTGATCGCGCATTCGACGATAAACGAGCAATCGAAGAGTTTCGATATTTTCCAGCGTGGAAAGGACTATCGTGTCCTGCGCGAGTACAAAAGCAGCACGCGAGGAATCGATTGTGCAAACAAGACCGGTGCGCAACCCTCGGCCCATGTCGATCTTTCGTTAAGTTTTCGTTTCGTGCTTCTACAAACGATAAGTTTCCCGAAAGATTATTTGAAGCAAATCACCCAAAATTAACAGAGCTTATATTAAAATTTGTTCGATTACTCGATAACAATTATGAAAAAATATTAAATAATGATTTTGAATAAAATTAAAAATTTCTGAGTTTAACTTAGGTTTTATTAAAGTTATGGAATAAGAATACTGAAGTATGACATTGATCATCCGAGTTCATAACGTGTCCTATCCAGGCAACTTCCGGCTCGACATACTCTGTAGGGATCGATATTTCGCGGGGAGTCGCAGACCGTGAGATAATTGAAAGCCGTCGGAAAATCGTGCGAGTCATCGCGGACCAAGGGGGTGATATTATTAAAATTGACTCGTGGTAGGAAACAGCGGTCGAGAAATCGCTGCCAATTCGAACCGTTTGATCAACCTGGCTCATCCACCACCTGCCATCTTTTTTTCCACGTGTTCATCGATCGCGGTTTCCTCCTCGTTCGAAATGGACATTGAACATTTAGGGAACCAACTTTATTGTTCTACGTTTACTTCCAAAATTGTGGTTATCGGTTTCCAAGTTTCCTTATTCTCAAATTTTAGATTCTTGAAGTTCCTCGTACTCAAATTTGCTGATCTCCAAAGTCCGAATCTCCCAAGTACTCTGAATCTTCAAATCTCCAAATTCCTAAATTGCCAAAGCTACAACTTTTTAAATCCTTAAATCCTCAGATCCCCATATTCCCAAATCCTCAAATCCTCAGGTCTCCAAATCCCCAAATCTCCAAAATCCCAAAGTTCCCAAATGCCCAAACCCCCAAATACTCAAATCCTCAGATCCTGAAGTCTCCAAATCCCCAAATCCTCAAAATCCCAAAGTTCCCAAATGCCCAAACCTCCAAATCCTCAGATCCTGAAATCCTCAAATCCCCAAAATCCCCAAATGCCCAAACCTCCAAATCCCAAAATCCCCAAATTACCAAATGCCCAACCCCTAATTCAGAAATTCCCAATTCTCCATATCCCAAATTCCCCAAAGTCGTAATCTCTCAACGTCCTACCTCCAAAAGTGTCAACTCCCCAAATTTCTAAACTATCACATCTCGAACATATGTACATTTCCTACGACAAAATTGTAACGTTCAGAAATAGAATGGCAACAGATAGTGGATACATTTCTCCTGAAAGGATGGAAACAATGTTTTGCTATCATCGTCACTATCATCTACATGGAGCCTTTTACTGTTCCAGACGATCTTCGTGGAAGGCTGCACAGCTAAAACAAACATCCATACACAAGAATAACATCTTTCGCTAATCACAACACTTGGAGCGCCCTGTACACGAACGAGATGGCGACGATAGAAAAACATCGTACCGGTCGTTGAAGTCTCTTGGAAAAATGACGTTGCCTTTCGGTAGTTAATGAAGTGGTCTCGCGTGAAAATTTATGCTACGGCATAATATTATTCGATGTAACCACAGATATAACCCGATCGAATCTATCGATGTTCCTCCACTTTTATTCTTCCATAATCGAACATTTTATGAAACTCATGGCTGTTACAATTCTTTCGTTCTTCTCAGAAATTTTATCAAATATAATCTTTTATGAAATATAAAGCGGGGGAATAAATAAAATATGACATCTATGTGTATACTTTGTTTTATTAAAATCTCAAGAGTACATGTAACTTATCGATTAAAACAAGTCTTTAAAAAAAAGTCGATACAGTTCTGTTTAGTTCAGCTAATTAGTAATTCAGCAACACAAATTTCACGCACACTCGATAATAAAATACATGAACGTCGTAAAAAGGGCACTTTCGATAGCTGCATTCGATAAAAAAATACAATTGGAAACCTTGCGATCTTGATGGCACTTCCACATCGATTGAGTATATGGTGCATTAAAATATACGGTGATCAACTTACTGTAAGTACTTCTATGTGATTACTATCGTTAATTACGGATATAGTAGTGAAACGGTGTTCGATTATTTAATCTTCCAACGATGGCTAGATTCTTGCAATTTTAGTAGATATTTTGCAATGTGAAGCTTAATTTATTTTGAAAATCTAGCTCCATCGTTCGAGAGTTATTATTGCGAACTGTAACTTTTGAATTGAGATTACAAATTTGTCAGAAAACCCTTAGAAAACTATGAGCTACCATTTTATCGATACAATAAATATATTTTATGAAAATAGAACAGGCTATTATTATTGCGATTCGAGTGATAACGAGTCTACAAGGTTTCCCAATAATTCAAATTAATTTTGCCACAAGAAATATAATTCGAAAGTGAAAGATCAAATTTTGAAGCACCCTGTATTGTCGTTATCACCCTTATTTGCGTATATATTTACAATGTTAAGTAGATTTCGATCAAGATTTGGCTGATTACAGATTCTACCATTTTGTACAGGAAATCGAAAAATAGACAAAGGGTTTCGTTGGTTACAAACTACGACACGAAAATATTAAGTTAACAACTAAATTCACATTTCCCTCATCCCTAAATTTCTACCATAGAAAACTGTGATAAATCATTGGACATAATTTAGTTGTCAACCTAATACGACTTTGCTTACGAAAATACTGTTTTTTACCTGAAACTCGTATTTGAAGGAAAACTTATAAACTACGCGTGTGCATAATAAATACATAATGCGAGTAACTATCTTGTAAAGTGACTCACGTTCATTTCTACATATTTTTTAAACATAGTAGTCAAAAAGGAGTTGATGAAATAATTTGTTTGTTTTCATTATCTTTGTATACATTGTAATAAAACATAAGTATTCTAAACAAACTAATATGTCGATCTCGCTTGAATAAACAACGTGAGTCACCGAGATATTATGTTTCTATAATGATATATATTATTTGATAACGGGAAGTAGAATCTGTGTACAAGATAATAAAATGCTAAGTATCTAATCTAGAAAACTTTAGTTGTTGTTTACACGAGATACGCTAATTAGTTATTTAATCAATATATTCGAAGTTGGTAGAAATTCGATTGCAAATACGATAACTGCGCAATCCGCTACGATAAGATGGATACATTTATTACTAAATTAAAGCGATACAGCGAGAAAAAGAAAAATGTTAATCGTTGCTCGAGAATGTACCTACATAATGACGAAAAATCACGAGAATGTGGCAAGTTAGGTATAAATGCTGTTTGATAAATAATTTTATTGTGAATAGGTGATTTTATTTTTGTCGAACGAATATAATATTTTTACACTGATAAACAGCAAACAATTTCGTGATATTTCTGTCATTTATAACTATGAGCCTATGTTAGTTCATAAAAAAATATATTTTTGAGCTATTCAAAACTATCTTTTCCCAGTTGATCGTTTGTGGAGAAAATCTGATTGCACACAATTTAATAATTACCCTATTGGAATTTTTGCTAAATTATAAAACATCGGTATTTCACAAATCCGATATAAAACAAACAATGAATTCTGTATGTTCAGAATGCATGAAAAATTTTACATCATTAATGATTGCATCTAAAATCACTACAGAAACAAATCTTGTTAATAACATTAATGTTAATAAATCTTGATAACGAACCAGCGAGTATAAAAGACAAAAGGTTTGATTATAAAGCCTCTTTAATCGCGAAGGGTTACGCGTTGGCATTCGCGATGCGATAACAATGGAAAAAATTCTGGAAAATCGAACAGGCACGATAAGAATCTTGAGGAACCGTTTTCAAAAAATTGGGACGAATGAACGATCACAGGTAAGGTTGCGATTCTGAACGCTGCAACCCTGATACAATTGCTCGTTATTTTTTCTACTGATAATACGAGAAACAACCGCAATCGCACAAGGGTTGAAAAAGCACTTATCTAATCCTTAAACACAAACTTTATCCTTTAAGTACCAAAATTCAACCCTGTTTCGTAAAACAAAAATTTAATGAATATCTTATTAATTTTTCCTGAATTGCTTTAGAGACATCTGTTCTGTCCTATAAGAATCACTTGAGAATAAAGTTAAAGATCTTTTTGTTCATCTAATGTCATGGATCTACAAGCTTGATTCTTCTCAAATCATTTTCTATTATTTCAAGTCTTTCTTTCATTTTATGAAATTATTTTTAACTGTTCAAAATCTTCCAAACCTTCAGATGCCAAAAACAGGGTCAAATACTACCATCCAATCCATCGACGATTTAACCTACTTTGAACGATCAAACACTTAGCCTAAAAATCAGTAAAAGCTCCAAAAAATTAATCGACTATTCAAAATCCTTCGAAGATCTCAAAATTGTATACGGCTACTTTGAACGCTCGAACGGCTAATTTAGGGATCACGGGTCCTGGAACTTGCTATCATTCTCAGTCTCCTAACATTCGTACTTTGGATATTTTACTATTCAAGTATCATTAATGGTGTTAGCGATCTATGTTCTCCCTTCATCCACATCTTTCCATACTTCACTCATTCTGGACATTTCATACTTAGAAGGATGATGTGTCCAAGACATCATCATCCAACTCCATTAAATTAATCCAACCTTCCTCAAACACTCATTCTGGACATTTCATACCTAGAAGGATGAATAATCATCCTCCAAGACATCATCCACATTTCACACCTAGAAAGATGAATGATGTATCCAAGATCTTCATCCAATCCCATCGAACTAATCCAAACCTTCCTTCCAACACTCATTCTGGACATTCCACACCAAGATGAAAGATGTGATCTTCATCCAACCCTCTCAAACTAATCCAAACCTCCCTTCAAACACTCCCACATAATCATAAACATTTCACAACTGTAAAGATCAAACCATTCGAAACCTCAAACCCTCTCTGATAGTTTAAAGATCAGTGACGGGTCCAGACAATTTGATACCATTTTCGATCACTGCCAATCGATCTACCTTCTCCCTGTACGGTGTCCCCTCGTCCACGTTACCGTCCTCTTCGTCCTCTCGCCTCTGCTCTTCCTCGTCCAGATCCTCGCCGGAAGAGGTAGAAACATTTCGCACGCGTTTCGCCGTGATTTCGCCTTCCTGCTCCGTGGCGATCATCTTACTACGAAGTATGTCCAGCAGCTTCTCCAGTCTGACAAATGACGAGTTCGTTTTGTCAAGTTACATGCCGTGCTAACTGGCCCAAACGAATCTCTGCAATACTCTCTTTAGAAGCGGCAAAAGCAACAATGTCAGCTGAAAGCCATGCTGCCAGCTAAAAGAAACAGAATAGAACAGGCGGTTTTCGCTTGCCCCGCACTCCCAGAGATACTGTGCGGCTGATCAACGAAGCGGAGGGTGGTTTTTACATGGAGGATGCTGGTTTTTAATTTCTACGGTTTTTTCGATCGAAGAGAGAAATATTGCGACTTTGATATCACAGTTTAGGATTGATATTTGGTTTCAAGTCGCTCAAATTCTTTTTATTTAACGTGTACATCGACTATGAATATTTGAGCGCTTTATGAAACGTATTTTGTTCAGTGGAACATTTAGATTTTTTTTGGTTTTTCTGTAATTCGTTTACGCAAACTTTCATGCAACGATATTTTGAAGGGACTTCTTGCTTTTTTATATTCGATATGCAAAGAATAACCGTGAGGGATTTCATAAGAGGGCTTTCTTGAAAATAATGCGCTGCAAAATTTATGTAATAGTTACACCAAGGCCAATCAACGACTCGTACAATGATAAAACGATATTGCACACGGGAAACAAGAAGCAACACACTGTACACGATATTGATAAAAAACCTGAACCATGCTATAATACAAGCTGCAAAGCCATGCCAACGATGACGTTACACTGCTCGAATATATAAATTATTACAAATAAAATAAAAAAAAGAAGAAGCTGCAAACCGTGAGAAGTGCTTTACGATTGTTCGACTGAAACACAATTCAGAAAATCAACGAGCATTTTATTTCAACGAGCAAATTTATTTCTTTTTCTGAATTTCTCGTTCTTTCATACAAAATTAAAGATACACAATGCAATGCTCTTCTCGTACCTTTTGTTGCAAACACTAAAAGCATTTATGGAAACATTTTCTTAACAATCCGGGACTTGGTTCACGCTGACAGACTTGTAACTCGAAAAATATTTACACAAATAAAAAAATATAATCTGTATTTGATAAAAAAATGTGAAAAGTTACGATCGTAAAATTACGACAAGTACAATTGTAAAAATCAAAGTCACGAACTTAATAAATCTAGAGAACAAAATATAAGAGATTCAATTTTTACTGTCATTTCGTTCTCCGTTTACTCAAGTCATTCGTAAAAATTCATCGCCGAAGGTCTTGTTAATTACCTAACTATGTTAACCATTCAAAATTCTCGCGCAAGAAAGCTATGCACACAGTGTTCCTATGTACAAGCAACTCAATCGTTTAACACCTTACCAAGTAATTAACCCTTTGAGTACTAAAACTGTAATAAGATAAGCTCAAGCAAACGTGCCGATGCAATTACTAAATTCTAAGCGTTGTACTTAACACGCATCATATTATAGCAGATTCTCGTTATATTGCCGCTTTCCACACCTACTGACAATCCTAATAGTATCAAGTGAACAAAGATTGCAATGTCAAAAAAAGCTTCTTAACCAATTCCAAAATTTGCTTTTATAGATCAGGAATGTAACGACAATCTGCACGATGCTCACACATCAGTCGATGACTGGTCAACGCGTTAACTATCCAGTATTCAATGGACTCGTTAAAATCATTTAGCACCAAAAGGATCATTTCAGAAATTTTGTACACTCAACCTTAATGTTACTTCAAATTACTATTAATTTATAAAGCTTATTCATTTCATCCTCGAGCAGGTAAGGTGTTAATGGCACGAGCCAAAGAAACCACGAGGCAAGGGATTAAGGACACTTTCGTTCAATAACTACTGCTCGGAGATAACAAGATGGTATGTGAAAAAAATATAATACAGCATCCAACTTCTGAATGAATCACGAAATTAAGGCTTGCCATCTCGTCATCTCCACACGATAGCATGTATAATAAGTTTGGTCAAGGCAAAGCTACAGCCAAATTATTTGATTGGCGTAACTAGGATTTCTAGGTCCATTTCAGAATTACGGAAATTGGATCTGGGAAAGTTTCGCAAGATTTCCTAATACAAAAACTCTGCTCTACAAAGTCCCCTAGTCACGCCAAACAATGATCCACGCTTACCGTGGACACGAACCCGTCAGCAGGAACCAAGGCAAAGAGGTTCTACCGTTCCAAGCATAATAGCCAAAAAACGCTACTCGAGGATAGAGTGAACGATAGACCTACGTGCTATTCGACATTGTACATAGTAGTAGCCTCTAGCAAGCCCTTGAAGCCCCCGTTTGCGGCACGCGTCCGCCATTGGTGCGCGTATGGTTGCGGGGCCCCGCGCGTACGTGGCCTAAATGTAGGCGGTGGTGTAGGTAGCGCGTGAGGGTGCTGTCAGGACTCTGGAGGTCAGGATTCCCGTCGAGCAGAGATCTTTCGGCACGAAGGGGGAGCCACCACCGACAACGGTCACTTCCGGGATCTCGGTGATGGCTCGGCACGTGTCCTCGTCATCTTGACGAGCCTCGTCCTCGCTCACCGTTCTCCGCCCGTTCTCGTTCACCGTCTCCGAGGAAGCTGGCTTGTCCGCCTCGCTGAACGACCTCTTCGAGTTCACCTTCTTCTTCCTGGTCTTCTTCGAGCCTGCCCTCTGCGCGCCTCGCGTCTCCTCGTCCTTCCTGGACCCCTTGCTCCTTTTCTCCGACCTGGATCCGTCTTCCGTCTTACAAACTTCCTCCTTGGTCTCCTCCTTCTCTTCCACTCGATCGACAGGATCCTCCGACTTGGTGTCGACGGGCAGATCCGAGTTGGTCAGACTGGAGGTCTCTTCGTAGGTCAGGTCTTCCGCAACGGGCGACTGCATGCTAGAACCTTGTTCGTCTACCGTCCAAGTGGACTGTGGAGTACAGTCCACGGACCCGTAGCTTGGCTTCTCGGAGACGAAGTGGTGAGCCAGGTCCGCGGTTCGTGAGCGCAGCATGGCGAAGTGCTGATGGGTCGAGGATGAGCCTGAGGAGGAGGACGACGAAGGGACCAGGCTACAGGTGTCGGAGAGAGCGGTACGCACGGGGGTGCTGGTTAGGTAGGGCGAGTCGAGGGCAACGACAGGGCTGACTGATCTCGCGTTTACGCACTTTGCCACGTGATTCTCGGCCAGGCTCTTGGATGACCGCGCCTCCTGCAGCTCCCGTCGCAGCGCCAGCGTCTCTTCCTCGAACGCTGCGATCTCGCGGCCCTCGTTGCTAAGTGCCAATACAAGTCCACCAGTTTAGATAAACAGCCTCACCTTCGCCGGATTCTTCGGCGTCTCGCGAACGGCGATCCCGGCATGCGTCGAGGTTCGTTTTCAAGGAGCGGTGAGGGGTTTCAGGCGGGAACTCTTACAGAAGGAGGCAAGCTTCTAGGCACCGGGTTAGAGATGGATCGTGACTGGGGAACAGAGGGTTCTTCTGAGAGTGTGACGGTTTAGTGAGTTATTGCCGAAGAAAGGTTGCGAGGGCTATGTTGAGATACTGCAGGCTTTGATGCGGTTATGAGAAGGTTCATCGATGCAAGCCTCAGGTGCGGTTAGGGTTAAGAGTGTTGCAAGGCTTTGGTAAGTCGTAGCTGAAGAGATGAGGTCTTGCAAGGCTCTATTCGTAGATGTTAGTGTCTTTGAAAGGGGTGAATATGTTAGGCAGGATGGGAGGTTCGAAATACGCTAACTCATATCGAGTTTGTTAATCTTACTGTTTGACTGTTAATGAAATTATGTGGTACACTGCTCAAAATAATTGCAAATTATTGTTGACTTTTCTTGTTCAGATATATTCCATCGATAAGAGCTCTTTAACAATATGGTACTTTAACTGTTTTGAGCAGTATATACTTTATGTTAAAAGTTTGTATTCAGATCATCGAGAAATTACTTTTTACACTAATAAAATAATAAAAAGCAAAGTCACCAAGTTCGTAATTTATACAAAATAGATATTCTGAAATATTTGAATAAAAAATAAAAAACAAATTTATGTATGTCTGGCAATATACAAATAAGAATAACATGATTCATTCCGTGACTCCAAAGAAACTACACATAGAGGGAGAACAAAGTGGGAGAACAGAGGGAAGAATAATAGACGAATAATGATAAATACTACAAAATTACTAATTAATACAATTTTTCCTTCGATTAATAAAATACGGTAATTTCCTATTCCAGATATAATAAATATTTCAATAAAATGAATCCAAAAATTGACAAAGAATTACTTTTTTTAAATTAAAAATAAATCAAGTTAGGTGAATTCTACCGTGTTTTGTGCAAATCGTGTACTACTTTCACGAGTCAAACACACAACGTGTATTTTACAAAAGGAAAAATATTCAAGCCCGTCCCACAAATGTTCGTCTATCAAAAATAAATTATAAACGAGCACTCACTTTGCGTTCAGTCTCAAGGTTGCCACTTCTTCTTCTAATTTTGTAATACGTTTTTCGTTCTCCTCCTTCTCCTCCACCAGTTTCAAGATCTGATTCTGAAAACATTCAACGATTAATTATTTGTTAATTGATTTATTACGAAATTAATTTAATTTTCAATAAAAATGTGTACTAAATTTTGTTCTGGACTGCTGTGTACCGAATGTGAAATGCATGGAAATAATTTAGAAAAAGAATCAAAAGAAATTTTGCTCCGAGACGAGCAAGTCCTCTGCCGACGGAAGAAAACGAGGATAAAGATAACAGATAAGGGAGACAATAATATACCAGCGTAGATAAGATGCCTCGGCTCGTTTCGAAAGAAATCAAACAATTTACATAGTAACCTGCAATTTTTCACCAGATAACGGTTTACAACGTACCGCTCTTTAGTTACACGATTCCGCACCGTTTATCGGGTTCCAACTTAGCCAAGGTTTAATTTATCAGTAATTCTCTTCGCTCGGAGAATTACTACTTCGTCGAGAAAAGAATCTCTCAACTTCTCTTCAAAACATTAATTAATATTTGATATTTCATCCTCCACTCTTATTAAAATTCTAAAAATTTTAGTAGCTTCCACCACCACACTGAATTTCCTATATCTTCTTGCCATGTTTCCCTAATATTCCAGAACATTTTATAAAACATCTAATGTCCGTATCTGATTCGTAGCGAAACCCCTTCCTTTTTCTTCTGATCGCTAAATCGCGAAACAGGCGAATGACACGAATTCCCCGTCGCGACGAGCACTTGGCCAGCTGAAAACGCATCGAGTGGCTTCTCGTCGTCGGTCGGGTGTCAGCGGCCAGAAATTTACATGCACGAAAGTGGAAGGTCCCGAAGGTTCAATTACGAGATTGGCAACGCGACAGAGAGGAGGCGAGCACAGCACGGACGGCCATCGCTTCGGCTGATGAGGCTAATGGATGGTTGAAACCCGAGAAGATGGGAGAAAGAGGGAAAGGAAAGAGGCCAAGGGAGAGGCCGTGACAGCCGCTAAGTGCCTCATCCTTCACCCTTCCTCGTCCCTCTGCCTCCCCTTTCGAACCCTCTCCTTTTCTCTCTACCCTCTTGCCCCTCGTTGTAGATAGCACCCTCATGTGAAACCTAATCATTTTTACCGCGTCACGGATATTTCGTATTACGTCTACATTAGGTTCTCCGGTATCAGCCAGTTTTATCAAGAATAGAATCGTGCCTTCAACCCTCTTCTAGGAGTCTGACCCTTGACAGTGAACAATTAAGGGATGAAGTCATTTCTGGAGCCAGTGAACATGCTTGGATCGCTTAACTCTTCTTTTCGAACTGCAGACGATGGTCAGAGAGTTTGGGAACTTATCTGAAAATTGTTCAATTGTTACATGAAATATCCTTTGTTCAATAGACGAAGATCCCTACTTCAACGTGAATATGAAAGAGTACTTGAACAATGAAAATGCTTAAAAGAAAACGGTATTCTGACAGAGTCCGCTGCAAACTTGATCGACGAAAATTCGCGTGCAGATGATAATCGAAAGGGAGGGAAATTGTGGAAAAAGAAGAAAAGGTGAGAGAGGGGAACCGAAGATCACCTGGCCGTCCTAATCAAACAGAACGTACGAATGCTACGCAAACAATATGTCCATGACCATGTCGTAGAAATGCCGAAAGCGTCGGCCGAAGCGGCACATTACTGTAGCCTAACTGCAAAGTCGAGAGAGAGAGGGGATTCCCTAGCTCTCTACCCGCTTTGTTTTCCATTCCCACGTTTCCTATCTTCCGACCCAAACTTCCATTCTTCATCCGTACTTCCTGCTCCTTTTTATCGGAGCATGCCTACTTCAAGAATAATTTCTTAATTAAGTGTTCATACTACAATAATTCTATTGCACTTTTCAGTGCAGATAATTACAAATGAAAAACATTTTTATGAGACTTCGAGTAGGTACTGATTGTGAGTCAATTGGAAAGAAAGCTATGAATCATCTATGACTAATCTAATCACCAAGGATAATGTTGGCTGACGAGACTACTATTTTGACAAACAACTGGTATTCTTGTACTTTTCAAGAAGTGAATAATACCTACATTTAAATTGGCTACTTCTAATGACCTCTGATTCAACTTCTCTTCCACTATAGACTTTACTTTTGAAACTAATCCTTCTTCGCACGTTTTATTCGCTTGCCTGATTTCTCTAATGAAATCTGTAACAATTAAAATACCAACATTTACGGTATAAACAACTTTTGTTTAAAAATATTTCATATATGAATTGGATTACAGTATAAATATTTACCCGATAACATTCCTGGTTGGTAATCAGAAGAGCCATTATATTTACACTGTGCCAGCTTTGCTTTCATACTCCCTAATTCAGACTTTGTTTCATTTAATTCTTTGAACAGTTGACTATTACTCTTTTTCAATTCTGTCATCTAGAAAAATCAAACATATAATTATTGATAGGGAAATTAAGTATGAAGTTATCTAATTATGTTGTAAGCAGCAAACAATGTACACCTGTTCAATAAGAGACAGAACTAGTTTATTGCTGCGACCAATAGTTGTAATAGAACTTCCACTATCGACACTGTCAGGATCTTCGCTCTGGGTAGGAGCCTCGGCAGATCCAAGGCCAGGATCCGAATACCTTCTGTGCTCTGAATTTAATTCGTCTCCATTAATTCCACTGTTCTTGTTAGCAGTGGGTGGCAAACTTGCATAGTCCCCATTCTGATAATCAATTGGTATAGGAGATGTCAAACCATTCTCCTGTAGACTCGTATAACCGTTTCCCATAGAGTTTATGCTCAATTCCATTGGATGAGCTTGATTACAGTGTCTCCTGGGTCTGTTGGGAATAGTTCTGATGCCAGAAAATGGCACTGGTTGATATAACCTGTACATGGGTGGTAGTGAAACTGGCTCCATGGCATAGGTCATTGGGACCTGTGCGTAACCACACATACTAGGATCAGAGGCTGTCGTAAAGAGGCGCTGTCCGTTATTTGGGAAGTTCTGTTGCATGTTAGACTGCCACAGTACATGCTGATGCTCCATGCCAGGTACCATATCATTGTTTTGATTGTTCTGGAGACTATTCATCCATGAGTTAATCATACTATTCCTTTTGCTGGATCGCTTCTTACTCTTTTTAGAATGACCAGTGACATCCTCACGATACCCTGACTTTGATGTATCCAATCTGCAGGGAAATTCGCGTTTATTGAATCAACAAATAACCATAAATCGAACGAATTGCGTAGAATATAGTTTCTTACCTTTTATCCATTTCTGAGAAAGATTTACACCGTGTCAGAGGTTAATCGCAAATCAACACTCGCGATATACGTGACATGGAGATCTCACGAGATCTCGTACTGTTATGTGTGTTGAAATACTGACGTTTCGATACGCACGAGCTTGAATCAAGTAACTAACGTTACGGCATGAATACTAGTAATAGCACAGTAATAGACGTGATATGTATATGTATAGTACAGTCCTACCGTTTTGTGGGAGTTCGTATTACACGATCTGAAATACCGACATTGCCGTCGAAATGATATTCTTAGAGACATCCAGCGCTGCTGAAAGGAACTAACAGAATAAAAGATTATAATCTGTTAAATTACAGACATGTTCTGTGACATTACCTTTCAGAAAAGTGATTTCAAGGCTTACATCAGCGATCTAGTCATTTTATTTGTCCACTCCATTTGGATAAAGTATCATTCTTTTGCAAGTAGCCTTTACACTTCGTATTACACTCTTCACTCAAATATCGTAGTAAATTAATTTGTAAAAATAACATGGAAAACAATAATTTATTGTACAGCTATTAATTTCTACTATTTCTATGTATCTAAAAAGGCCTACTATTTTTCTCTGTGTTTGGGAAAAAAAATGTGTAGCTATCTAGCAGTGGAAGTTGGAACTACAAAAGTGCAAAATTCCGACTTTCTATACTAGCGCCATCTAGCGGCCGGGTATCAGAAGCTACTTTTAATATCAGGATAGCAGAAAAGTAAAGGAGGTATGCGGAATAAGAGGTAGCCCGTGCAAACGAGTACGCATGCGCAGTGGAGCTATATGTTAACCCTATATACACGATAATGAGTATGAAAAATCATTAATAACTCCCTTTCTGGACACAATCCTTCTACTTTTATGATTAAAGAATATTCAGTGATCCCCTAGCTACTTTCTCATATCACATTTGTTCAGATTTTCATTGTAAATAATTAGTTATTAATTAATATCCGACAGGAAGTCGGCGCAATACATCGTACACATGAGCTAATCTGAAATAATTAATAACACATTAACTGCATACAATCTATGAACTTTTATGATTAAAGAATGTTCAATGGCCCTTCAGCTACTTTCTCATATCATATTTGTTCAGATTTTTAATGAAATTAATTAGTTATTAACTAATAACCAAAGGCCAGCCACGGCGCCAAGCGGTACATATGAGGTCATTTTGAATAATTAATTACACGTTTTGTGGATATATTCTGTGCACTTTTATGATTGAAGAATGTTCAGTGATCCTTTATTTATATGGATCGATCATAAAAGTTCATAAAAAGTGCTCAGGTAATGAGTAATTAATTATTTTCTACCAACACTCCGACACATATATAAGCCGCCTATGTGAGTTCTACTGCGCATGCGCGGCGCAGTCCGGTAGGCGTGGCCACGCCCCCTGCGCAACATGGCCGCCGCTGTGTGTCTACTGCGCATGCGCAACATGGCCGCCGCTGACTGCCTACTGCGCATGCGCAACATGGCCGCCGCTGCGAACCTACGGCGCATGCGCACTAGTTTGCACGGGCCACCCCTTATTCCGCATACCTCCTTTACATTTCTGCTATCCTGATATTAAAAGTAGCTTCTGGTATCCGGCCGCTAGATGGCGCTAGTATAGAAAGTCGGAATTTCGTACTTTTGTAGTTCCAACTTCTACCGCCAGATGGCTACACATTTTTAGGTCCATGAAAAGCAATTTTTCTTATTATCGTTTCTAATGAATTTAGCGGGTCATTATGGTATTATTTCAATTCTAATGAGATCCGAGAATATTTAGGACTATGCAGGGGGTCAATGTTAAATGGTTAGTCTCCGCACATAGCATATAGAGCAGTCGACAAGCTTGTAATTAAATGATTAAAAAATAAGTTTAATTAAGTTATGCCCTGTATGAGAAGTAGTGAAAATAAAGAAAAATTTATCAACAATCATTGCGTATTTATTGTTACCTAACAAACCCAACAGAATAAAAATTTACATATTTGAAAGAGTGGATTTGTATCAGAGGAATATGAGAATTCCTGGAATGCAACGTCGCAAAAGTTCTTAGAATTGACACGTATTAAATGTTGTTCACATTAGGCTATTTTGACATGTACTTGCCTAATCTGAACACCCCCTTATATGGCTTGGCGCATCTCCATCTAGCGGTGACTCGCGGAACTTCAATACGACCAGTTAGTTCAATGGCTTGTTGCTAGGTGGCGCTGTTATCGGTCTCTGTGGCGGTTTTTTTAAAAGATTTTTTCCTTTTTTCTTGATGTATTTATATGTGTATAATTTTTATGAGATACTTGCGGAACCTGGGCAACGAGTTTTCGAAAACTCAGAACTGCAGCAATTTAAAATCTAATTTCGTTATCATTAAGAGTTGGTTTTTTGACTTTTCTGGGTTAAGATGAAGCAATAAAAATTGTTTTTTGAACAATTAGTAACAATAATCTTCAGATAGTGACAGTAATTTGTTTTTTACAAATGAGTACAAACAAACTACCTAGTATATACTGTATTTTCCGTACGTCCCCGTTCATAAGCACCAAAAATTCATAACGCATACTTCATATAATAGGAGAAACTCGAATAGAAGATTCTCCATATCTTATATATTCCACTTAATGTGTTTTAAGGTACTTGTTACGTTTAAGGAGAGCATTACGAACAAACTGTTCTCCCACTCGGGACGTTTTCCCGATTAATAACCTGACGAGGTTAGAAATAATGGGACCTGTTACTGACACCGACTGAGTACAGTGTGAGTGCTGAGAACAAGTTGGAGAATGGTGACTATGCATTTAAAACGCATCATCGGGAGTAGACTGTATGTACACGTAATCTGTGACAAAGCAAACGGTCGATTGGTCGGCTACCTACGAAATTATACCCCGACCGCAAACGCGAACGAAGCGAGTGCAGTGCATGTCACTTGCACCAGTCTCTAGTCACCCACGAGAAAGGGACGGAACAAGTGTTGAGAAAACATGGCGGCCCATTGGAACGTGCCACAGTGATGCAGCGTACGCGTAGCGAAATTTTCTACTTCGACTGACCAAAGAGACAGTGGCCTCGCTCGCTAAATATTCGTCTGTCCAAATGACATGGGAATTTGTAATCGAAGGCACTTCCTACTGACAATATGCATCTTACAACTTGTGAGTCTCCTTAATGAAGAAACTTGCTCCGCTATCTTTGCGATCGTTGCGATACGCTAGGTGATTCGTAATACATGTAGCGTTTTTCTCCTCTACAATGAGTCACGTATTTGACTTGTTAACAAAACAATTTTCATTGTACGAGTTATTTCTATTTTGTTCATTAACATGGTTATTGTTCCGTAGAAACTGTGAACCAATTTCGAACGATTTTATCGACGATGTTACGGCTGGATCAAACACTGCAGACACTTGCTGGATTATTGTATCGCTTTATCGATCCCAGTCGCGTGGTTTATCTTTACGGTGTACTAAAATCATCTTAGAAACTGTGCAGACAATCTAGAATCGCTTTTCCTACTTTCTATTGCTTTCTTGCGAGTGTTAATCGACATCGATTCGTTTTACGTGATTTTACCGTGCTACGATGTTTTTGCAAATTAAAATTATAGTATAATGCAAGCTATGGCCCCATGATAAGATTCGTCAATATGATATAGCACAATAATTAACATTAAATTATAAAAATGTTTTGCAATAATTTATGGTCTGTTACTTTATTTATAAGTAACAAAACCTGACAAGAAATAAAAATTGTTCATGGAAATTTATTGTGTCTCTGTAGGTAATTAATAGAGCATTTAGAATGTAGGGCAATTGGTACAGATTAAGAATGTGCGTAAAAAGGAGTTAGTAGACATTAAGAAAATTAGTGTCATAGACTACTGACTTGTTTGCTCCTTTCATTATTACTTATTTTGTATTTCTTTTGCAGATTACTACTGTAGAGCGCCAAGTTTTCGACTTTTTGGGCTTTATGTGGGCCCCGATACTGGTCAACTTCTTCAACATTATATTTGTGATTCTAGGATTTTTTGGAGCCTTCCAATATAGACCTAAATATATCATATCGGTAAGTCAGAGAAGTAGCATTATTTTTACAATCTTACACATCATAATTTACAGTTCATGCTTTTACATTTAATTTGTTTCAGTATTGTGTATGGAACACATTATGGTTGGGATGGAACATTTTCATGATATGTTTTTACCTTGATGTGGGTATATTGGACAAAGTGAGTACAGATTACATATAAAGTTTTATAACTTTAACTATGAATGATTTGTAATGATAATTGATTTTTCAGAATAGCGATATTTTAAACCTTGGTACCGGTAGCTTTTCATGGTGGCATGTCAATGGACCAGGCTGCAAAGCTATTTATGATGTTACAGAACCAGAATTTTTCAGACCAGCACGACCTGCAAACGTAACAGACTGTGTTCTGGATTATGAAGTAGTTGAAATTTTACATGCATCTACGCAGTGTATCTTAGGTGTAAGTGTAATTCACTCAATTTTTTACTGAATACTTAAGAAACTTTGCCCTTATGAAACCCAATTTTTGTTTTTCAGTTTATTGCAATTGTGGGTGGTATCTGTCTAAGTAAGGTTTTTCTGGAGGAAGATGATAGTTGTAAGTATGCGATTTAAAATATTTCGTTCTTATTATTGCCAGTGTCAAATTAGTATAAAATTTAGTTTGTGGAGTAAGATTATTTTTAGTTTCTATTCTGGGTATCATTCGGTGATAAGATTGGGTGATGTATTGGTATTAGTAAATACGATATTGAGGAAAAGATTAATTAAGAGCATTTTAAAGTAAACGAAAAGAAAAAAGTTTACGCGATTATACTAGTGCAATGATAAATCTTTCTTTATTCAGTTTAAAGATAAACGAATACATGTCATTATATATTAAATACAATTCTTTAAGATTTATTATTGCTTGAAAAGAGGGTTGTCGGTTACAGTTGATTTCATTGGTGGATTTGATCCTCCATTTTGGTAAGTGCTTTGCCTGATCCATGGTTTGCACGCATTTTATCTGTTCCTTTAAGCACGAGTAAGGCGCATTAGTATCTTGTTATTCATAAGATTCTTTGAACGCGTATAGTTACCCTTCAGAATGTCTGCCAATATATTTTGCATCTTGAACCGTAAACGAATTCTGTTTCTCTTTTATTATAGAAAACTATCAGTATAGCATGTCTCCTTTGCAGATAACTGCATTTACATTATTCGTATTATCACAAAAAAGCGATAATTGCAATTGTTCGTGCATTGAATCTAAAGTTAAAGTCGTACCCTTATTTTTAGTTATTCGCAAGAAAAACAAGAACCAGCAGCCTCTTCGCAACTAAACACAATGTAAATTCGAATTCTAATGCAATGGATTCTACGTGATATTTCAGTTGACTTTGTGGGAGGTGATGACTTTGGGTTGGCAGGCCACACGCCGTTGCATCCTATGTACGTTAGCTACTCGGCTCTTCCATCACCTGCCCACCCTCAAAAAAATCCCGCTCAAAATTATCTCGCAGGCACAACTAGCTCTCATCAATCCATTTGTCACGATAACAACAGCTTCTCAAAGAATAGCGACAAGTTATTCAATAGCTCGGGACGAAGTAAGAACAGTTTCAAAAACGACACGATCAGAACCAATCGTAGCAACCAATCGAATCGCGATCTGAAGCACGTTGATTATCCGAACGATTATTCGAATCCTCTGGACCATTTGCAAAGACCAGTGTCCCCGTACGACGAGTACGATTCGTTGGACAGTGCCGCTAAATTGAGGTATCAAAAGAGCAAAATGTATTATCCGCAGTCGTCGTCATCGTCGAGATACAGTCCGGTTGCGTCGCCGCGGATCAAATCGCGTCCAACAGGTGCAAAACAAAGTAAAGTCTCGAACAAGCCCAGAGTGTTCACCGATCATATTCGCGAACAACCGTTGAGATCGTTTTACTCTGATCCCAGATTGGCAATCGAGAATCAACAGAACACGAACGAACAAGAGAAACAGAACAGGACTAAACGCGACAGTAGACCTCTGTCCTTGTATGCCAGTAATTTTTAAACGCAAAATCCTTATTTTGTTCGTGTAGGATTTTTGTATACGAGATTGCTTGTTTCTTTTTAATTTAAAGAAAAAGAACATACGACTGAGAATGGTTACACGTGCTTCGATACTGAATTTTCTTACAATATACGAATTCGAGAAGTGTAACGTGTAATTCCTATACTTGCCAAATAGATAGAACAATTAGAGTAGCTAGCATAGGATGCCTAGAAACGATTTTGACCCATTTTTCTTGTAACATCACACGCGATAACAATTAATTATTAGACACGTTTTCAAAAGAAAGGTATCGACTGACAGTGGATCGAACTGTGTGTTCATTAGCACTATTACTTTTTCTTTTGCTTGCGTGTTCAGATTGGTATATTTTCGATGCGATTTGTCTTTTAGAGACGACGGAGCATATTATTAATAATATAGAAATATTACTTTTTACATTAGATTACATACATGATGCACTGTGATACGTATAGAAATATGGATCATGTTGATTTGAGAATGTTATTTGAGGTTTGATCGATTGTTAATTGGAACACTGAGATTCCGACGAAAGATTTCCATTATATCACGTAGCAAATAAAATTATTATTGTAAACGTTCACGAACGTTGTAGAACATCGTACAATTTTACAATTTTTTGTGACAATATTCTTTCGTACGAGTTCCTTGGTTTGGCTTACAAGATGGCACTTGATAGAACTTTTTTTTATGCTACTATCTTTTTTTAATTAGCTTGTTGTTAACGCGATAGTGAGAAAAGAAATTTGTTAAGGTGCTGCGAGAACTTTGGATTTTAAGAGTCTGAGCATTCGGTAGTGCATGCTAGTACTTGTGTCTTACTTTTTTTTGTAAGTTTAAGATTTATTTTACATATTCCCCTTCGAGCAACGAATAATATGATACGTGCAATCGAAACACCGTAAGATATCTGTAGGCTCTTTGTTAACTTTCGACATTCCACGGTTCGTTGGTTACGCTCGTAATGAAAATGAAAAATCTGAAGTGACGACCACTGTATATGAGACTCTTCTGTTTGTGAATCGATTAAACGAGAAGTCATTTGTTTCTTGATAGACTGCATACAGTAGTGATTGTAGATCAATGGCTAACGAAACTAGACAAAGAAAATTAATTCAGTGCGATGAGAAAAGTATCTTCACTGTTAATTAACTCGGTGATTGAATCCAGCATGACCCAATTAGTGGAAGGAAAAGAAACCCCAAAGAAAATTTATATGTAATAAGATTAATGGGATACTTAAACTTTCAACAACTGCTATTCTTAACACTTTGCGTACGATGATTGATCGATGAATATTTCATGCGATCCAACAGTAGTTAACAATCATAGCGTACGCAATGCAATGCAAGTTGAATCGTGTAAAGGAAATACGTTTCGAATTTCTTAAACTACAGTAATCAATTGAACCGTTGATTGCTGAATGTTTTCCATCGTCAAATGATGTCATTGGTATTACAAAAGAATTACGAATAGAATATTGTTGAATCTGTATATTATTGGATATTTTCTCATCGCATTTGATTGTATCTATTGTTAGCCTTGTTCACGACTTACGACACAGAACCTGTGCATTATTTAATATGTTTTTCTATATTTTTTTGCTTTACGTTAAGTAGTCTTAATTAACGCACTGTTACTTATTAAATGTCCTGGTGAAACGATAGTTGCAATATTTGTTTAGAATATATCACGGTTCAATCAAGTTGTTGCATATCAAATGATCGATATTGAAGCATAATCCGATATGAATTCATGAGTTAAAAGTATCGTGAAGCAAGATTTAGAGCTAGGAGTTTCAGGAAGACGACCATATCCTCGTGACAAAATGGTTGGTTGCCAATCGCAACATAGTATCGCAAAGTAGGATAAATCCTTATAAATATTTCTCTAATGTTTGGTTCTCGATTACAGTAAATAATAGATCAGAGTAAAACTCGTGTATTGTTTCTTTACGAATTTCATTTAGAACTATTGCACGACAAACTTTGGAACACGTTTCAGTTTTAACCAAATTATTGTTATCGAAACTATAGTCATTTCATTTGCAACAACCTGAGTCTTTACTCGGTAGAATCGTAAAGGTTTGCTCACTTGAACGAACACGTTTATTATTGTACATATAAATGTAGTTGCGTTTGAAGTTCACGCGTATATTTTACGCGATTCGTTCACAAAAATATGCAAACGCAATTTCATTGTATTCGTCATAGAGGATTTGACCGAATGAACGCAGTTTGTTACACGTTCAGTCAACGAGTCACTTCAGATTCGTCGTCGAATGTGTAGAATGATCCTCCTCCTTTTTTGTCTTATTTTTTTTTTCTTTTTTTTTTTATATTATTTCCGTTCGAGCTTGTACAGTAGTCATGTAGTTTGTTAAGGGCGTGTAGACCTTAGTTTTATATATTTATTTTTACTGTATCGTATGATTTACCTTGGTGCAGTTCATTGGCGACAATAAACGTGCAATGCCTACTACTTGCTTGCTTTTTTATTTATTAACCCCAATTCTTTTCTTTTCTCTCCTTCTCATCTAACATTCTCCTTGCTGTGCAGTCTTTTCGGGGAACTTTTTATTCAGTTATTTGGTTTCCGTTTCAAGTTTCGTTTCTTCTTTTGTCGAACGTATCGAGTTCCGAGCCTTGATTCATCGCGCGTACATCTTTGAATTTATGGATTTTTGGGTGGAGTCAATAAAAAAAATATATTTAGAATAGCCCCGCGCTTAGAGACTTGCATTTTGTAATATCGAAATAGGTAGCTATCATAATTATTGACAAATCATCTCAGAAGTTCATCGTGCATGTAAGAGCCTGGTCAGAAATAATCGACGATTTTCATTAATAGTTCTATACATCGCTCCGTTCATTATTCAATCGTGTGTGCCTAACCCTGACGCTTGTGCCTGGTGTGCAGAACAGGTGCTGACTTTCATTCCAACAAGAAAACTGTTCGGCAAAGAATCCAGGCACAAGTTGATCAGACTCGATCGTTTTTAATCAGTGACTAGAACTTTCGCTCTGTTTCCGCTACAGTGCAAGCTAAACGGAAGAAAAAGCAGCCAAGGCCGTTATACAGCATCGAGTACTCCCAGCCGGAACCACCAGCCGTCCACGATGAAAGCGTGTCCCCGAAACCGATGACACCGCGAAGAGTGAAGCGAAGATCGGTCATCTCTAGAGATGGAACGCGGAGATCCAGTCGTAGAAGCTCGGTCAGACAATCTCGAAGAAAGAATCCTGTGAATCGTATTATGGACCAGCAGGAAAGCCTGTACGCTAACACGACACCCAGCAATTTGACGAATCAGAACGTGAACTCGTTGTCGCAAGGTACCTTGAACTACGACAGGATTTCCATGAGTTGGGACAGAGACAGGAACTCGAACTGGCAGCCAGAGGCTGTGAACATGGCCGTGTCCTCTCCCACTTTGTGGAATCAGGATTCTTCGAACAACTACTCCAACACGAGCAATTATACGAATCAAAATTATCCCAACTGGGATGCGACTAGTTCGACTAGGAATCTCACAGATAATTGGCAACCGAACGAATTGAGTCCGATGCAATGGCAAGGGCAGAGCAACCCTACTTTTCAACAGACCAGCACTCAGAGTTTGAACGGAGAAGATCTGGACGAGATTTATAATAATCGGCCAGCAAGCGCTAGGTCGAGTTACAGTAATTATCACGGAGTGAGAGCTACTCCTCAGGTGCCTAATAGAACAGACATCGTTAGACAGAGTCAGAGACAATTTGTCCTGAGCGGACCTCCTGCTTATCAGGATACGGTGATCTGAGTTGGAAGGATCTGGGTCCTACGTTTAAGTTCGGATTTCAGCACTGTTCGACACTGTTGGGTGTAAGCTTGTATCCGATGGAAGATATGAGAATATTTAGTTCCCAATTTTAACATTAGCTTTAACAAATGCTAGACATATCTGTACTTCATGGTGTGAATCTGAGAACCTGGGCCCATTCCTTAGCAACTAATAATACGTTACTATATTCCTACAATGTACTTGTTACGTTTAAGCGATCAGTAAGCGAGAGAAAGTTCGTCTTTCTCGTTACGTTACTGATTTCCAAGCTTTACTCGATCACAGTGGATCTTTATTCCCTGTTGAATCTCGTTATGTACTTTCTAAGGTTGAAATCTTATGTAAAAGATGCGCTTTAACCCTTTACAATCCAAATGTCTAATTGTCTGAACGTTGGATTGTATAGGGTTAATAACATATCAAATATTTCGCTACTTTTATAGACTCTGCCTTTTTATCTCAGGATCTAATGCTTTGGAGGTTCTTTTTAAATATTCATTTTAAACATTTAACCTTTTCACTGTTGTCAAAAACTAATCGCTAAACGTTTGTATAAATGATACATATCGTGCTTAGTGAAAGGGTTGAAAATTGTTCGTACGTTTCACGATTTTTTGCACTGGAAATCTGAAATTTTATACGGAGAAAATTTGTATACAAGGAAGTTAAATTATTTTTTGATATCTCTTTATTTCATATTTTTTTGCATTGTAAATTAACAATCACAACGATGATGTTGTCACAGTTCGCTCATATCGTCATTCAAACTCTTACCCATCTGTAAATATGATAGTGTCACGATCATTACTTTAAATCATATTCACTGTACAAAACAAGACAATCATTCTTATTTATATCTACCACCTTCGAGCCTTAAAAAATGGTGAGCCTTAAAAAAATTTCCTACGTATTATTTTGGAAAACTTAATAAAATAAGTGTTTCGTAGTCTTCCATGTATCGAGATAGCGTGAATCGAATGAAAAACAAATGAATTCGTGCACAAGTATCTTGTTGAATAAGCAGTGCACGAAAAGTGCAATAAGAGCTTTCTGATCAAAGAGTGAGCAAACGAGTATCTTTTTTCATACGGAGAATCAAAATAGATTACGTTGATGATTGTATGGCGTGTGAAATGAAAACCAAAGTATTAAACATCGATGTAAGTTAACGATAATACTTATATTCTATGTAATTGTAAAACTGCCTCAATTTTCTTTCAACTATCGTACAACGTAGAATTAAATTAAATTAAGCGCACAATTTAGTACTTAATGTTTGTTAGCTGTGAATTTGTTCACGCTTTGCGTACAATATCGTTTATATCGTAATCGTCCGTAATTTAAATTTTTTACATTTCCGAAGATATAAAATAATTGGCGATGAAGTCGAACACCGAGGAAATCCAATTATTTATAATATTCTATACGTAGAACGTATCGTCAAGTACGTTAATTTTTAATTAAATGGCAGCTACCTTTAATTATTGCGATCTATCGATTAGCGTAAGACTTAATGTCACGAATTTGTACTTATCTGTTCTGCGCTCAGGATTCGACATTATTTTATTAGTGATATAACAGTTACTCGTTAAGCGACGGTGAGTTGGTCAATGTTTTATTGTTGTTCGCCATTGCTGTACAATCTTTATTACGAAGTACTAATTGCGAGACAATAAACGACAAATGTTCAAGATTCCATTGATCAATTGTTCATTTCAAAATCCCTTAAAATGATCCCTACAGAGTACCTCCTTCGTACATAGGAGAATATATACATGGAAGGATCAATGAGTAAGTAGGAAGATTTTTCTCCCTTAGATAAGAATCTTTTCGAGCAGAAGACCCGTCGTTTGCTCCCCAAGAGGTCCAATTTCCGTTGAACATTGACTAGACAGCTCGTCACCGTTGTGAATTTTACGACGCCGTGACGAAATCGCGCATGTGCCCTATCGTGCCGGCTGCATTCCCTGCTGCTAGACGTCCTCACGACCCTTACACCGCAGTACCTCGTTCTCGTCGAGACGTCGAGGGTCGCCGGGCGTCGCGACGTCACCATCGAACATACGTGCGTGCTCACGTTAAGTGTCAACCCCTTTGACTTCCGTAATCATCGTTTGTAACAAAGATTTTTTAGCTGTGCCACGGACCTCGCCTTTCTCTAGAGCACGAATGAACCGCGAGGCGATCGTCAGGGGTGTGAGGATGCTGAAGATCGTCAAAGCTAGCTCGAATGGACTGAGACGGTTGCACACGAGCAATAAGGTGCGACAGATCGTAGCAATATTATCGATCTGAATTACGTGAACTTGCGTGAAATTTGGCCGTACCCTCTCGATCGTTAACGGCGTACTATATAGCTTTCAGTAAAGAGTTCTCGTTCGATTCGATGGACAACGTGCTAGTCTTTTGTCGACTGTATGGAACTAGTTGCGTTTCATTCGGTCAGGTTGTATGGTTTTCAGGAAGATCAGTGGAACTTTTGTGGTGAGACGATGTAGGGAAATATAGAAGAGTAGTTGACAAGGGGTTGCTAGTAGAAGATTAGAGTCTTTGATGATTGGAAGCGCCGATCGACTTGGACGAAAGAATCGTTGCTAATTGATTAGAGACAGCTGCTGAGATTTGAACGATGGCGCTTCATAGATTTGTGTGATCGATATTACATTTACAAGATCTACTTAGACGAATTATAAATTATACTTTACATATTTCACAAATTATCGAGTTCGGTATTGTCATATTTTACAGATTGCTGATAACGTGGACATTCACTTTATTTATTGTTGAACGTTTTCTTCTACATTCTCTAAGTATTCTCAGTAAGAAGTTTAGCAGTATCTGAAAGAACCTTTGAAGGTACTTCAGAAGCGGTCAAGCGAACTTGAGTGTGATAAAACTGTGCTAACGATAATCTTCCATATTGAAAATGGTACAATAAAGAAAAAAAATGATCGATCATAAACGCAGAGAAGCGCGAAATTTTGTTTGTCTCGAGCGTCCACGTGGGCGGCGACAATGGCCTATTTCAACGACAGAAATACCCTAACGCGATGTGACAGCGAACATGCTCGAATTGGACGGCTATTAGAGTTTCTGTACGATAAATTCTTGTCGAAGATCAATACCTCCGATAGGATCGACATTTTAATAGGATGACTAAGCTGGGAATATAAATGATTTACTGTTTCATTTTAATAATCATCGATCCGTGTAAACGACCATGATTAATCATAAAAGAAGACACGTTTTTCTACACTTTCATTTCGCGCTGGTTTATATTAAAAGACCAATCTGCAGTATATGTATTCAACAAAAGCGAAGCTGTGCATAAAATATGAAAGAGGAGCTACAAATTGAAAATCTGGGTCACCGGTCCACGCAAAAAACGACCGTTAACGGAGATTCTGTTTTCGTTTGTGTATCCTGGTGATCTGAATTAAGCGTACACGTGGCAGGTTTCGGCTTAGAGCTGTTAGGGGTTGATTCATCGAAAAATCAATACAGAACCAACTGGCAACCAGCACTCTTACGCCCTTTGCACCCTTCATCAACCCGATTATTTGCACGTGGATCATTAAATTGGTTTCTCGAATTGTATTTTTTTCGTTTCGGCAAAAATTGTAGTTTTTTCATTTCCGATTGTTGTCTTTAAAATGGTTCAAATTTGCTAATTTTCCAAATGAGATTCATCTACAATCACGGTTATGAATCGCTATTCAGAATAAGGGAGCGAGTAAGTATTGAATTAAGATTATCTATTCTAATTTATTGCAGAGACGAGCCGCTGTACCAGCGTCAAAGAAGCTCGGAACTGCAAAGTACTTGGATGGTGCTTTCGGAAGTGCCTTAGAATTGGAACGAGCGCAAACACGGTAATTTAATTGCTAATCTAATAATTTGCAAATCACGCGAGACATAACGATGATAGTTTGAATTAGCGAGAAATAAATGAGGTTAAATAAAATATAATCTGAAATAAAAAATTATTTATCGAACGATAATATGCATCTAAAAATGATACAGTACAATAAAACGCGTTTCGAATTCGATTGCACAATTCGAACGACGAGCGGTTACGTTGTGGTACGAGTCAGAGCAGTTGAACCCCGTCAATCGATACAATAGTCTTCGCAATCGTTTATGCAGGTCGCAGTCCTCGTTGCTAGCTTCGAAAGGAAAAAAAGATAAAGAAAAAGATCTAATCATTTCTCGTAACAACGGAGAAATAGATTCATGCGTTTGGTGGAACACAATGAAGTATCAATAGACTCAAAGTAATCGAGGCTGATGGTTCTCAATCATTCGTTGTTCAAAAACAGAACTAATTCTAGCAGTTCCAATAACAAATTTTATTTAGTTATTTATTTATTCGCTAAACTTACAGATAAAGTTGCAAGATATTTGTTAAGATATTTTATCACGTTAGCTCTATAACTTAAGAACAATTTTACTTATGTAAGTTCTTTACGGTATGCTTCTTCTTTTGATCGTCGTGGTTCTTCTTGGTCTCTAAATGGATCCCTGTTCTTCCAAGTTTCGATCTTAACTACGATCAAGATGACGATATTGGTTTATTAATTGAGAACCGTTGATCCACGTAGACCCGATTGCAATTTATCGTCCGAGCGTCATTGCTCTCCATTTAAATACGCCCCGAAGACACGTCCCTTTGTTCTCCAGAACTTTGTTTCATTTGATAGAAGAACTTTCGAAGATCTCCAGTTCTAGCGAAAGTAGCCATAGTTGTTCGTTTGGGACAATGGACGATTAGTTGAATCGAGAAAGATGGCAATGGACAGTTTCGACTACAGCTTTGTGGATGATCTCGTTGATTTCCGCCAGTCCTTTTGGTAAGATTAACCGTAATTTACTTTTTTATACAAAATAGATAAAGAAGTTTATATTCTTTTGACATGTAAGGTTGTACGATGACACATCGATTGCCAAATGAGTGATCGAGCTTCGAAATTTTTCTTCGTCTTCCTTTTTCTATTTTTATACCATGGTTTATTTTTGCGATTTGTCTCGAACATTGTGCGTATGCTTCGAAGAAAATACATAGTGTATTGAAATGTTTCTGCTGACCAGATGACTCTCGTCCTTAAATATACAGTGGCTCTAATTGGGTCTAATCAATTGTTTGTCAGGTGCAATTCATTGTGTTACGTACATCGCACTTTTTGTTTTATATTCTTATTATGCACAACCAGAAATTCTTGTTAGCAACAAATATACAAATATCATCGATATATTATTAATTACTGCTGCGAATTTTTTTTAATAAATCTCCCATTGAAGATCAGAATCTAGACGATCACGTGTCACTTTGTTTGCGATTATGCAATGGCGCTACCGTGATAATTTTAATTTACTCAAGCTATTTTCCACATATGCAAAATACATTTTGCTACCTGTTGGTGACTTCATTATTTTTACACAGCGGTTTCTTCTTCGAGTGGGGTCGTTTCTTCCCAACTGATATAAGGTCGTTTCGACCGTTCACTTTTCATACACGGTGAACAAATCAGGATAAAACATTGTATCGATCTTTCGACGAACTTCAACTCTTCTTTGACTAATAAAAATGTGTCGATTAGGCAATTTTAACCAAATCGAAATTTAGTACTCCAGAATTTACTCGTGAGACAAAAAGAAACTGAAGCAAGTTTCAAATCTGATAATAAATTAATCGAAGAAGCAGAACAGAGAGCAGTGAAAAAAAGATATTTAACAATGAAGGAAAAAAACGAAAGCACCGTTATGTCTCGCGTAGAGAAAAATAAAAAAATCTCGACTGAAAATTCTGAAATAGTGCCAGTAAACTTCTCTGAAGATTATTCCGTAAAAACGAAGGTCGCATGTACCATTTGGTTGGAAAAGAACGGTTACAAATCTAAAAGGATGCTGGCACGTTTTCTTAGGTAATTCTTTCATTCTTCTGATCGTCTTCCTTTCGTTTTATTGTTTTGCAGCGAGTACAGCTTCATTCATGACAGCCATTACATGTAGTGAGTACTATGAAGTTATAATGAGTTATAAGAAGGAACAGGTGTAAAGAATGATTTAATTCAATTAACAAAATTCTGATCAAAGTATCTTTACGATTAATCTGGTGATTGATAATTTTAGTACCAGAGATCAGGACCAAGCGACGAACGCCGAGGATGTTCTGTTCGATATGTTCAAAAACGAAGAAACCGGTCTTCTACCGGTGGGCAAGTTTTTAGCTGTGAGTGTTGTTCTCCGCGGTTTTTAATACACAATCATTCGCTAAATATAGTTCGCCAGGATTTTGCGAGTTCTTTTTTGCGTTCGCGTGGTTGCAGGCTTTGAGGACAACCGGCTTACGAAACGACGACCCTAGACTGCAAGAATTCACGGACAATCTGCGAAAGGAACACTTGAAAAGCGGCGGACACGAAGGTGTTTCGCACGAGACACAAAAATTGAACAGAGATCAATTTAGGAGGTAGTTAATATTTAATAATTCTCCAATAGTTAAACTATATAGATGTAGAACATGTAAGATGTTGGCTTAAAACGAATAAAGAAGACTGTTAATCACAATTTCAGGATCATAAACCCGAACATAGTATTAATCTCGAGGGCGTTCAGACATCAGTTCATTATCCCTGACTGGTCGGGTTTCACCAAGCACATAGAAGACTTCTATTGGAAATGCAAGTCGAACTCGGAGGGCAAGGTCGCCTCCTACATACCTCAACTGGCGAGAATGAATCCGGATTACTGGGGCGTTTCAGTGTGTACGATCGATGGACAGAGGTTCAGCATCGGCGACACCTCGATCCCGTTCACCTTGCAAAGTTGCAGCAAACCATTAACTTATGCTATAGCTTTGGACAGATTGGGGCAGGAAGTTGTCCATCAGTATGTCGGTCAAGAACCGTCTGGAAGAAATTTTAACGAACTGGTGCTCGATTACAACAGTGAGTATATTTATATCTTTTAATGTTTTTAACGATAGCTGATTTCGAAACTTGTGTTTCATAGAAAAACCCCATAATCCCATGATCAATGCGGGAGCGATACTGGTTTGTTCCCTTCTGAAATCGTTGATCAAGCCCGAGATGACTTTAGCGGAGAAGTTTGACTTCACGATGAATTATTTCAAGAGGTTGGCAGGTGGAGAAAACCTCGGCTTCAACAATGCTGTCTTTTTGTCCGAACGAGAAGCTGCCGATAGAAATTACGCGCTGGGTTTCTACATGAGGGAGCATAATTGCTATCCCGATAAATCGAATTTGCGAGAAATAATGGATTTTTATTTCCAGGTGAGCTTCTTTTTCGTACTTGTTCTTTTCTTGTAGTTTTTCTAATAAACATAGGATATCTTTTTTATCAAGTGCTGCTCCATGGAGGCAAATTGTGACACGATGTCGGTGATGGCAGCCACATTGGCCAACGGTGGCATATGTCCCATCACGGAAGAGAAAGTGTTAAAACCTGACAGCGTTCGAGATGTCTTGAGTTTGATGCACAGTTGCGGAATGTATGACTACAGTGGCCAGTTTGCGTTTAAGGTGATTTTTAGTTATACTATAAGTCGAACGTAAGGTTCCTGGTACGTTCACGGTACTTGACTATTTGCTAACATATTCTTGTTAATGAGAAGAGCGTATGTTCGAACACAGGTTGGCATTCCAGCAAAGTCCGGAGTGTCAGGAAGCCTTCTGGTGGTTATTCCGAACGTAATGGGCATTTGCACCTGGTCACCTCCGTTGGATCCTCTAGGAAATTCCTGTCGAGGCGTACAGTTTTGCGAGGAACTCGTGTCCGAGTTCAATTTCCACAGGTACGACTACTACTTCTTTGATTTGACTCGATGGAAAACGTGTTAGTTTAGCATGGTTAGCATTAGATGCGACCAACCAGTCTACTACACTTATACGAAAACAATCTGCACACTAACAGTCACAAAAGCGAGTCTTCGCACGAAGCATGTACCTCTTGAAACAACGGAACAAACGAAAACTATACATATAGATTGATTAGGAGAATTTTCTTCGGTACTATCGCGCAAAATCGTTGAAGCAGCTTCTTTAATTTCTGCTTATAAAACTAATTCGAACCACGAAACCAGTGATGATAACACATTAATCGATTGTTTATTTTCCCTCCTTTGCTTTTCTCACAACCCCATGCTACACACGTACCCGCACGAACAAATCCAACCGAAAACTCTGTCTCTGCCTTTATCTTCTACATCGTCTGTGTTCATTTTTTTCCCGTCGTTTTCCATCCCGTCCCGATTAGTGTAGCACCTACTATGATCACAGGTACGATAACCTGAAGCACGCGACTAATAAGAAGGATCCAAGAAGGCACAAATACGAAACCAAAGGATTGTCAATCGTCAACCTCTTGTTCAGTGCAGCCAGTGGCGATGTTACCGCGATGAGGAGGTAAGCATCGATTAATTGCTTGACCTAGAAAGCCTAAATTGTCGACGAAATATTCCCGATACCGAAAGGAAAACCACAATATGTTCGCAATAATTTCAGGCATCGATTAAGCGGAATGGACATGACGCTATCAGATTACGACGGCAGGACAGCTTTGCATTTGGCAGCCAGCGAAGGACATCTGGATTGTGTCGAGTTTCTGATCGAGCAATGCGGGGTTCCAGACGAACCCAAGGACAGGTAAACGTCATGTAATTTTGTTTTATGACCGTGTAGATCAAATGATCCGACTTTTAAACGAACTCTCTCTCTCTCTCGGAGTTTCGAGCTTAAGAGATTTGCCAATTTCGTAAATTTGAGAAACAAGATTTATATTGTAGGTGGGGGAAACGACCAATTGATGAAGCAGAAGCTTTCGGACACATGCAAGTGGTGGAATATCTGAGCAATTATGCAATGTCTCGAAAATCGGAACCAGAAAACGAAGAGAAAGAAGCTACCGAAGAAAATCCAGATTCTCGAAAAGTTGTAGAATCCGCGGGCCAAACTCCTCTACCTTAAACAGATTTCGTTCTAGATAGGATATTTTTCAAAAAGTAATGAACTTAAATAGACGTACATTTGGACGTAACGTAAGCTTCGTCTGGCTTGCTCTGGCTCTCTTTAGGTTCTGCCCGAATGCTCCCAAAATCGATACATCGTAACTAAGAGAAGCGTGCGTTATATCCAAGTGTACGTGATCTAACCAAAAGGAAAATGGAAACTCGAGTTAACGAATTATTTTCTTACGATGCATACAGTTCGGTCAATTTCTTTTACTTCTACATTTTTAGAGCTAAATAGCAGTTTAGACTCCCTGTAACCTATGGTAATGATATGAGCACCGTATGCATTCTTCGTTTACATGTATGTGGATCTCAGGGAACGCAACACTTCTTTCCAGCTTTATATTTTAAGGTCATTTTCGTGTTTTTTTTTCCATTTCTTCTTGTTGCGTTTACTTTCTGAGACGATGATTGGCCAGGGTTACAGGTTATTAGCGAATAAGGTAAAGATACTTTGCAGTATTATTTGCGTGATTTAAGTCGTATCTTATATGTTAAGCAGTAGACAGTATTTTTAATTCGTTAAGTTCTAACGAAGCTCGGTATACATATTAAAATAATCGATGAACAATTTCCATTCTGAAACATTGTACAATCAAGAAAAACGATGTACGTTCAAGATTTTCAAGTATAGATAGCGTTTCCATTCGTTCGTGTGATATTCGTTCCTATTAATGATCATACTACATATAAACGAACACGAATCTTCGATCGATTTTGACGATCGAACATTAGTTAGATTATGTAACGTTGATTCGCTTGCAAATAGTGCTCGTGACTCGTTGTTTCGTGACCTCGTGCCATTTAGACGTAATCTGGTTCGAAAACATAATCGTACGAACAGGAACTGTGATTCTTCGAATCATATGCGTTAAATGTTGCGAAATGATTAAAGAAACGGATGCAAAAGTCATTGAGAAAGAGTTATCTTTTTCCGTACAAACGATATTTCTTCAGTCGCTTGCTAATGGGTCTATTTTCGAGTAGATTAGCGTTTCTTTTCAATGATTTTTATACTGTCAGATGAAGGGTTTGTGATGTCAATGTTACCTGTCGTCAATTATTTTGAGATGAACGAAAAAAGAGGTAGCTTTCCTTGAACGATTGTAAAGAAAGCCAATAGGATAAGGTTATTAAAAAATTACTGATGCATAGTCCGTGTCTCTTACCTGATTCTTAACCACCTATTGCAACATTAACGACCACGTGTGAAATGTCAATTAATGGAATTAGGAAATATTCATCCATCCACGAGAAACTTCACGATTCGATCTGTTGAATGCACGAAAGTTAAATTTGTAATCGGTGGTTCGTTGCTATAACGATACAGATATCAAAATATTTTCCAAAAGTTGAAGGACAATAATAACACGTTTATGGTGCGTATATGTAATGGAACACATTACCGATTCTTCGGCCGATTTAAGTTCAGATAAAACGGGACAATAATTTTCATCGGTAATAATCGTTACCGCTACAAGTCACTTTCATTTTATGAATTTTTCAGGGCAAGCGCGTTAAGTTTGTCATAGAATAAATTTAAGATTAAAATAGTGAATTTGTTACAATGTATGTTGATAAGTCTAAGAGTTTCTTCGGCCAAGAATCGTGTTTAATACAAATTGTATACATCTCCATCCTTGTACTTAAGTTTCTTGTGAAATAAATATTTATGCTGCGCTATAAAATATTATTATTATAAAAAAATAAGCAAGGTTTGTGTTATTATTTAATATACGAACTTATCATTTCTGTCACGATCAAAGACAGAAATCATCTCGGATAATCTTAAAATGATTGATAACTTATTGAATATTTGCCTGCAATTTCAAGACGCGTATGTAAATTTGTCGACAGGTTCTACCTTCGTCTTCTAGTATAAAAAAATAAAAATAAAAATACACACACCGTGTCACGTAAGCGTGGCATTGGGTTTCCCTCACCATAGAATTTCGAGGTGCGTTGTCGACGAGCTGGTTCAGAAAATGAGTCATCAAGGAGAACCGAGTCAATGAGAGGCTACATCGTGATTTTATTTCGTAACAGCACTAGTTCCGTATCACTGACAAGCTTTCCTTTTTCTCCAATCGAGGTGTTTGACCCAAAGATCTTGAATCCATCCCCTACTGGACAACATATCAAATTGATCGATTACGATTCTTTAGAACAAACATAAATCATTCCAACTTGCTGTCGGTTTCTTCTTAACTTTATCGAAATTCAAACGAAGCTGCTTGCCATGTTTCAAACGGTATTTTCCCAGCAAGCATATATTATTCTATACTTAATTAGAAAATCTACATTTCTGCTCTTGATGAGAATCCCCGTCAGGGTTGCGTGCTTCTGCTCTTCGACCATGCAGAACGAAGATTATAGATAAATAATTACAACATGGAATAAAACATGATTATTTTTATTCAGAGTGGTATTCCCTATTTTCCACGTGAAAAGTGGAAACTTTTCAAAAACTTGTTCCTTTTTAATTCGATAAAAATGACAAAGTTTCTAACGAGGTGTGGATATAACTGTTTGTGGACATTGCTAAAATTGAAACATATTTAATACATTTATTCAGCATGACGCATAGAATGGGATTTCCAGGTAGAAACTTGGAAGTTCCCTTATGAGATTCTAATACTGTAACCACTAGTTCAGGGTGTACGATAAAAATGGATTTTGCAGTGAACTGTTTATTAACTCGAGTCACTTCCGGTACGCGTGTATGTTCTGTCACGAGTCGTCATTGTCATTATGTAGGTGGAAACCTCGACGAATATCTACACGTATCTTACCATCAATAATGTTATTCAATTGTTTTTCCACTGAAATTTCTAATTATCAGAAACTTCTTAGTATTTTCGTGTCACGAATTTTATGGATTCAATAAAATATTCAACGTCATAAGTCGTCGTTGCAATAAATCATTCGAAAGAAACGGTATTTCAGTCTCGATGTTAGTTGTCTAACCGCTAATAGAGTTAATTGCAAATAATAACGCAATTTGTTATCCTTGTTGGTTAAACTCTTCGTTTCTACTCGCTCTATTTCCTTATTTGCGGTATGCATAATTAAGAATCTAATTATAATTTTTTTTTCTTTCTCATGGAAAGGTTCTATAAATTTCAAGAATGAATAACCAGTTAACTGTAATATTTATTTTGTCGTCTATCTTTATTTAGCGACATCAACCGATTATCTAATTTGCATAAGCGTGAAAAAACACGTTCTTCTTCAATTTTTTGCAATTGCTATCTTTGAGGATTCCCAGCGTCGATGTCTGAACGATAGGTTACGTGAGTTTAAAATGAAAATTTAATGTTTTGTGACGAAACTTGAATGTTTTATAATTTTCAATTAAATGTTCTCATGATTGACAGTTAAAGTGTACATTGCACACGATCGATAATAACAGATTTTCGTAAAACGATTTAATTCTAAGGTTCTAAATCGTAGTGGCGACGGTCTTCCAGGAAAGGAGTGTGACGTACATTTATGGTCGAAGGAACGTGTCGTTGTCTTTAAAACCAGTGCTTACGTCAATAGTATTTCGGGTTTTTAGAAGTCGGAAATCTTTGAAACTCTGCGGATTAAATAAATTAATTCATCCATCGGTAATACATCGAAAGAGTTTCTGTGGTTATATTAAAGATAGAATATTCTTAGAAAAACATACAAAATATGCCGACATTAGCAATAAATTAGCATTGTAAATAAAATATAAAAAAGATACATCCAGTCTACGTCAATAAAGAAGAATAAACAATTCATCTAAAAAATATATAGAAGTAAAGTGGAAGGTAATTAATGAAGCAAACGACAATCAGAATTATGCCGATTAAATCTTCGTGTTGGGAATGTTGGAAAGATACGAACACGAAAATAAGAAGGTGCCATGAACAACGCGGGAAATCCAATGAACGCATCCTGATTAAAACTCACGTACTGCTACGATCGATCGAACGAGACCAGAGTCGAAAGACCTCGAAATTCTTTCTTTACACCACAATCTTAGCTGATTTCGGTGAATCTTCGATATTGGGTCAAGGAACCATTCACGAGAAATCGAAGAAGGAAAAAATAGAGGAAAATGATCAATTCCCATTTCAAGGATAACCGATTATGTTATCTGTATTTGGCGAAACGAATTATTAAATAAACGCGAACGTAGATATTATTTGGCGTATATTACATTCGAACATTTGTCAAATTTCTCTCTTCCTGTACCTCCATGCGTTGTATGATCTCGCTTTATACGTCTCTATGTTATATTGTTGCGCATTGAATAACGATGCGACGACACGAGATCAAAACTTTGAACCATTTATTACAACAAAATATCGTTATCAGAATATTTCCCGATACTAACACTAATATCATTACGTAATTGATCATTTACGCGCTGATGGTTCGGTAATCATAAAATTCCAACTATCTAGTGTACGTTAAAAAACAGATAAACAAACAAGAAATTTCTATCGATGTTAACGAATTTCTAGGAACTATTATTCATTTTAACACGATTAAAAACAGGAATTTTTATTGTTGTATAAACCCATGAAATTGATCCTTCTTTTAATAAGTGAATATTCATTAGATCCATGTGAAGAGGACATGTGTGTCCTTGTTCTTTTTTATAGTTTCGCTTCTTTTCCCGGCATTTTCACGATTGTACGTTCTCCTACACACTTTACGTTACTCATCGTTATTAACATCCGTATTCATTAATTGATGCCAATCGTTTACACTGCTATTTATCGAACAGTCAGTTTTAAAAATCTACAGGTGTTTTGATCAAAACTTTTTCTCGTGCATTCTTCGAGAACCACATTTCATTTTTGGCATTAATATGATAGTGTTGTATACCGGAAAAGAAACTGATGCTCGCCCACCGATGCGCGAATTAGATGTATCGCAGAATGTGTTAGATAGATCACAAAAAATTTATTCAAGAACGAAATACAGAATTATCATTTAATCATTAAAATGATTAATTATTATTGCTATTATAATATCGAACAAAAATTGTGTAGGAAATAGAAATGTTAACAACAGTACAACTGGACAAAAATTTTAGTTATTATAATTAGTCGAAATTTTAATTAAAAACAAGAGTCGTTAACCGCTAGGGATATCCCGGGAAATACATGAAACGTTTCTCCGAAGAAGACAAGACCTTGACAATGTCAGCTTCATTGTAGCCCGTAAAAGTTTAGTCCTTTCTACAAGAAATTCCCTTACTTTTATTTTCTAAGCTTATATTTTATATTAAATATCCTCGTGTTCAAGGAAATCCAGCAGATCTGTTAAAATGATTGTCAATAAAAATCTTAATTTTTCTTGAAGTAAATAGAAATGAAAGGTCAAAGAAGGGGAACGACGATGGGTAAACGGGCAATTATTGGCCGGCGTAAAATCCACCGGTGTCTCCGTATATAAGGTTGTTGTCTCGTTCAACAGCACCAGTCGTTCTTGACTCTTCGACCGTAGTGATTATCGACTTGTAACGACGCCGGCGAAGACAAGAAAAAGAATTCGTGTGTGAACAGGAAGTAACGAACCAGTGTAAAACATGAGGTTATTCGAGTGTTTCGTGCCAATTGTACTGTTGTTGCTAATCGAGAACTCATCGGCGAGACCTGGTGAGTTGAGGATTATTTTGATAAACACAATGATCGTTATAGAAGTCACCTGTGATTGGATGATCGTTTATAATTAATTATAAAGTATTATACCGATAAGATTGCCAATTCAAAAGTATGAAACTAGCCATGAGCTATCCTATTATTATTAAAAAATTATTTTTTTCGCAGGTTTGCTCACGCAAATAGCATCTCAGCACGGAATCAATTTAGATCCTCTAGGTATCTTCCGAAAGGATAAAGATGCCGAAGCACAGAGTAAATCACACACTTACGGAAGCCAACTGAACTTGGGACCGTTGTCGATCACCCGAAACGTGGCCTTTTCTTCGGCATCGGCATCAGCGAACGCCAAAGCCAATGGCGGTGGAACGGCCTTTGCGGATGCTAAGGCGAATTCGCAAGCTACTGGAGGAGCCTCCGCGAACGCTGATGCTTCCGCCGCAGCTAATGCCCAAGGTATTTAAAAATTTATTGGAGAAATTATGATTAGGAAGTTAGAAGTTCAACCTTCGTTAGGTTTAGCTTTATGTGGAAAGCTGTAAATTCAGAAAAGGCTTTGACAGAGTCTCTTGAACTCCTTAATAAGCCTTGAACTTATTTTTCGACGTAGGTTACGACGGTTTCATCAGTCCGAATTATAATTCTAACATCGCTGATCAAGATGATGAATATAAGAACTACGTCCCATCAAACGTTCAATACGGTAGTTACGGTGGTTCTCAGTCGAGTGCAAATGCAGCTGCAAATGCTGATGCGTATGCCGATGCAACTAGCAACGCGAATACCAATTCGATCGCTAACGCGAAATCAACCGCAAACGGCTATTACACTGGAAACAACCAGGCTAATACAAACGCTGGAGTAAACACCGTTTCTCTGAAACAACCGTCCGTCAGTATATCCCCATCTGGAGGATACGATATAGAAATAATTCCACCTTTGCATCATCCTCGTCCTTCGATGGTCGTTCATCCGTTTCCACCTGTTCAACCGCCACCATCAGTCATGCCCTATGAAGACACCGTGTTACCGGTGATAATCGTAGATGGCCCCGCATACAGCAGACCGATGCCACATTATGCTCCTAGACCAAGACCACATCATCGCCCAAATCCGAAGCCAGAACCAGTTGAAATCATCATAATAGACGAGACGGATATGCTAAACCAAGGCCAAGGTGAGCCATTTGGATGCTGCTGGCATTTGAATTTTCTGCACCGTAACTAAGCAGTATTTGCAGAAGTGAAATGGGCATTGTAACTTTATTTGTTTGTTTGCACCTTAACTGAGAATGATCGATACACTCTGTTGACACATTTGATGGGAGTTAATACTCTTAGACACTAACTGACTGTACATGTAATTATTGTTAACATTACCTCTTCTGTTGATTAATGTTTAGCAATGATATCTTAAAAAGCATATTCTTATGAATATTTTTAACTCTATCCTCATGACTGAACAATTTTTTAATTCTATTAACTCAATTAATCATGGATTCTTCTAGCTGGTGCAGCCGGGAAAAACAACTACTATGCACCAGGAGGATACACCAACGGATATCCGACAGGATTTGGAGGAGCCAATGCTAACGCTAACGCTAACGCCTTCGCCAACGCCAATGCCAATGCCAACGCCAACGCAAACGCAAAGGCCAACGCTAACGCCTTCGGCAATGGAAACGGTTATTCAGCTCCGTTAGACTACATGCAACAACCGCATTACTATCCTTCGAACGCTCCGTCCACTTCCATAGGAACGAACAACCCCTTCTTGAGTGGTTCTCAAGCGAATAGCAATGCGCTTGCGAATGCGGGTGCCAACGCAAATGCTAATGCAGGTGCAAACGCTAATGGAAACTTGTATCCAGGTCAGGGACAGGGTGCAGGACACTATCCAAGTGGTCCAGCTACTCCCATAAACACGAACAATCCATTTTTAAGTGGATCTGGAAACGCTAATGCCGGTGCAACAGCAAACGCAGGCGCAAACGCAGGTGCAATTGCAAATGCCGGCGCAAACGCTGGTGCAAACGCCGGCGCAAATGCTGGTGCAAATGCCGGCGTAAATGCTGCTGGTGTAGGTGGTTCTCAATCGCAAATTGGAGCAAATAATCCCTTCCTCCACGGTGGACTTCCAACTGGAGGAAATCACCAAACTTCTCCCACTGGATCCCCTTCAGGACTTGGACACTATGTCGACAATAGTGGAAGTTTGGCAAATGCGAACACAGGTGCTAATGGTCAGACTAATGTAAAAGGTGTCCCTACTACGTATCCCGGTGCTCCATCTCCAGGAGCGTTGACGGGCTCTGGAGCTAACGCCAACGCCAATGCAGGTGCTAACTCTGCAGGATCAACCGGTGTCTATGGACGACCCACTAAGACAGCTCCAATAGCAATCCCAGCAACTCCACAAGGTCCTTATCAATATGCGCCTAGCGGTTCAGGTAGTGCTAATGGACACTCTGGTTCAAACAGTGTATTTGGAAACTCTGGAGCGAACTCTGGTGCTAATAACTATGGAACCTTGAGGCCAACTTATGGCACTGGATCTGCTGGAGCAAATACTGGAGCAAACGCTGGTGCTTTAGCCAATGCTGGAAGTGCTGGATTAGGTTCTGGAAGTGGCAGCTATGGAGTACCAACCAAAGGGGCACCAATTTATGGAACTTCTGGGCCAGCTTATGGTAGTGGATCTGCTGGAGCAAATACTGGAGCAAACGCTGGTGCTTTAGCCAATGCTGGAAGTGCCGGATCAGGCTCTGGAGGTGGCAGCTATGGAGTACCAACTAAAGGGGCACCGATCTATGGAACTTCTGGACCAGCTTTCGGTAGTGGATCTGCTGGAGCAAATTCTGGTGCTTTAACCAATGCTGGAAGTACCGGATTAGGTTCTGGAGGTAGCAACTATGGAGTACCAACCAAAGGAGCACCAATCTACGGAACTTCTGGACCAGTTTTTGGTAGTGGATCTGCTGGAGCAAACGCTGGAGCAAATTCTGGTGCTTTAGCCAATGCTGGAAGTGCCGGATCAGGCTCTGGAAGCGGCAGCTATGGAGTACCAACTAAAGGGGCACCGATCTATGGAACTTCTGGACCAGCTTTTGGTAGTGGATCTGCTGGAGCAAATACTGGTGCTTTAGCCAATGCTGGAAGTGCCGGATCAGGCTCTGGAAGCGGCAACTATGGAGTACCAACCAAAGGGGCACCAGTCTATGGAACAATGGGTCCAGCTTTCGGTAGTGGACCTGCTGGAGCTAATGCTGGAGCAAATGCTGGAGCAAACGCTGGAGCAAATGCTGGTGCTTTGGCCAATGCTGGAAATGCCGGATCAGGCTCTGGAGGTGGCAACTATGGAGTACCAACCAAAGGAGCACCAATCTATGGAACAACGGGACCAGCTATCGGTAGTGGATCTGCTGGAGCTAATGCTGGAGCAAACGCTGGAGCAAATGCTGGTGCTTTGGCCAATGCTGGAAATGCCGGATCAGGCTCTGGAGGTGGCAACTATGGAGTACCAACCAAAGGCGCACCAAGCTTTGGAACTTCTGGACCAGCTTTCGGTAGTGGATCTGCTGGAGCTAATGCTGTAAGCAACGCTGGTGCTCTAGCCAATGCCGGAGGTAGTTCAGGAGCCAGCGCAAAAGCCGATGCTACAGCAACAGCAGGAGCTTCCAGTGGATCTGGTGGATCGGGCGCCAGCGCTAAAGCCGATGCTACAGCAATAGCTGGAGCTTCCAGTGGAACTGCCGGATCGGGCGCTTTAGGACAAGGTACATTTCATTATCTTGATGCCGGATAAAATTTGTTTATGTATTTCACAACTCATTGATCATCCTGTCAAAAGATTGATACTAGTTTCTAGTCAGGAAAACAAGTCTCTTGATTTTTTAATGAAAGATATTTAAGCGACAGTTAACAGTCTTTTTGGTCTTCTTCTTATAGGCACAACTATCAGTGCCAAGACATCGACTTCATCATTCGCCGAGGCAATAAAATTAGGCCTGATCGTAATTAAATAATTGCTCTCCCTTCTTCAGGCTCGTCAAGTGCAATTTCCATTGCGAACTCCAACTCGTTTTCCAATGGAGGGTTCTCTTCAGCGACCAGTTCAGCCAAATCGTCCGCTTTTGGAGCTGGAAATGCGTCGGCCAACGCAAAAGCAGAAGCATCCAGCAGCGCGAAATCAGGATCAGCTAGTAGTTCAGCCTCCAGCCAAGCTGCGGCTAACATAGACACGAGAAGCATGCTCGTTTTCAGCAAGTAACCAATTTGATGCCCAAGTTTCCATTGTTTGACGAGATTCCCGAATGATTCGATTAAACTAATACCATGGACGTGCCATCGCTTTGAACTTTATAGGAATACTCCTTCGAATGTAGTACAGTAGAACCTTGATATTTTTCTGATGCAAAGACGTAGTATGTAGAAACGACAGGGAAAATTCGAAATTCTACTGTAATTGAGATTCATACGATAGATTGTAAGGTCCGAGATACGTCACCGATCAAATACATATCGGAGGATAACATCGACCAACGACGACAATTAGCACGTCGTATACCGATAGAACGTAATTAATGATCAAAACGTGGATACAATCGACATTGATATATAATAGTGACACGGTGTAACCAAGATTTATGCAATAAATTGCGGTTCAATTACTGCTGTGCAATTTAGCTGATTTTTATTGCATTAATCTGTTCGAAACTTCGTCGCTATTAAATCGAGTCGAGGATTCCACGTATGGTCCAATACTTGTGATACCGTTCTTGCCAAATTACGTTTTCGAAGTATTTCCTTCGAATGGGACAATATTTCAATGACATTTCTCGTATTCTTGCTTGAAATATAATACTCTAATTATTTATCGATATTAGCTATTTACTATTATATTATAAATAGTTCTCTGGAATAGATGAAATGTCTATAATTTTTTAAAACAGATTTTATGCGATATCATGACTGTATTTTGTTTAGGGCTATCAACGATAAACAGATGTATGCGCAAAAAGAAGATAATGAATTTTCGCTTATTCTGCATTTAAAATGGTATACAATTTACGCGTGTTTTATGTACTATGACGCATTCGAAATTGCCCGTTCTTATAATAAAAAAATATGTGTAGGTCATAGTTTATTATAATGATATCGTTCTGGTGTAAATGAAATTTACACCAAATTCAATGTAAATTTCTACCGACGTTCAGATATTAAAATTTAAAAATGTTAAAATATGTATATACATATTTTAAGTTAATTGTTAGCGACATTGCATTCTAACGACGTTTCACAGAAATCTGTAGAAATAAAAATAAAAGTGAATCTACGAATGAATCTAAAGTTGTACCATGACATTTTGTAATTCGTGTATAATTATTAATAATCGCTTTCTGTGCCCAGCACTTTGCGTCTTCACGAGATTTCCGTCTATTATCATGTATTATCGTACAACTACAGATATCAAGTCTTCCACCTCTGCCTCGCTCTCTTATGTAATATAAATATTATTCTAATATCTGTATGAAATAAGAATTTAATAAACATTGCGATTTTTTATCGATTTCGTTTAGACTTCTTCAATGACCTGCATTCATTATGAATACGTTTCAAAATTCTTGTAAATCATAAGGTTAAAAGAAATATGTATTATGAGTGTAGTAAGTAAAATGAAAGCATCAACAAATTAGAAAAATCACGATGAAATTTAGGCTGTTCTCTGGAAAACCGTCATGTTTGGAATCATTTCAAATTTTGCAAATTAGCTCCTACAAAAGAAATCATGTATTAAAACAGTTGTTGAAAGTAGTTCCCTTCGTTACCGATGGTTCTGTTCATGTGTATGCTATCTACGTGGAAATAGTATCCGAGTAGGTTTGAGGTAGTTTGATGAGGTCGAGAATATCGTATGCTGTGAATGTATGCAGATACTGTCTGCACAGAAATGTTTGCAATGTGAATACCGCGGGTCCGAATGTGCCAATTATGTATGCGTACGAAATTTATCGTTCTATTTATCGACAGTCATAACTCATGAATAGAATTCTAGGGTCGTGTTCTACTGTATTGATTAATGATCTTCAGCATAAAAATTTGAATGCGCTTCATATATATTTATATACATATACTTAAGTATTGGGTAATTAGAAAACTTAATTAAAAGTTTCACATGGATATATCTAGTATTATTGTTAACATATGTTTTTATAAAAGAATCGGAAAAGTTACCTACTGTGAACAATAATAGCGCATGGCAAAGCATATACTACGCATGCGCGACCACGTATGTACAATGTTCGGTCGACAACACAACTGCCAACAAACATTTCAGTGCCTTTTTTAAAGTATTGTTAGGAGTGCATTTGTTTACTGCATTTATTACACTATGTCGTCTGGTGGATGGGAATTAGTTGGAAGAAATAAAAAAGATAAGAGCAATGGAAAGATCAATAAACTTACTAAGGCGGAAAAAAAGAAATTTATCGAAAATGCGCCAAAAGTAGAAGATTTTCGTAAGCATTATCTTTTAACCTTTATTAACTTAAGAATTTATTTAGTTATATTTTATTTCTAATTTTTGTAATCTATAAATATTATCGTCTATTTTGAGTAGTGTATGAAACTGTTATGGAAATATGTTTTAGAATATCTAATATTGTGTTATATTGCACAGATACAAAAATATGTTTGTTAAAAATTTAATTTATTTCAGTTCCCTTGAGTCAGGTGAAAACTTTATATGATAATTTGGATAACAATAAAGAAAATAAGAAGCCATCAAAGGAAAAGGAAAACAAAACTAAAGAAAATGAAGAAAAAAAGAAGCAACAAAAACTACAGCACTCTGAGAAGAAGAAACAAGAACCTAAAGAAAAACCACCAAAATCTATAAAAGATGCATTGAATATGGTATGAATACATGTGTATTCTAAATAGACTTTGTATCTAATCCATATATAACTTTACTAATACCCATTTCTAACAGATTGATGCAGACGAAATACGTAATGTTTTAACTACTGGTCAAACCAGATTCCCAGAAGCTCCATTGATTTGGCTAAAAGATCTTGCTGCTTTCTTAAATGTGAAAATACCAGTTGATAAGGAAGATGCAATCTTTTCTGGAAAACCTAAAGATTACCCATTAAGTATAGTACCTAAACCAATTTCTACCACTTTGGAAAAAGCTATTGAAATGGCAGGAAAACAAACTGCACAACTCTTTTATGAAAATACTCTTACTACAATGGCCACTGATATGGTTAAAGGATCAGCAGCTGTGGGTCATAAAATATTTTTACAACTTTTAGCACGTATTAACCCTGAAATGACTGTTGCTAATATTCCTAAATTGATTACCGTGAGAAACTCTTATCAAAATAGAAAAACCATTGGTTTGTCTTTGCTATGGGCTTTATCTCAAGGTGGTAGAAAAAACTTGGCTGTGGGTTTGAAAGTATGGCATGAAGTAATGTCTCCCATGTTGGAGACAAAAAGTTATTCTAGTTACATTGCCCAAATTCTTAATGATCTTGTTTTTGAGCATGGAAATTGTTATGATCTTAAACCAGAACTTTATCTTGACATTGTCGAAGATACATGTTCTGGAAAACTTAATATTCCTGCCAATGTGGGCAGAGAAATAAATAATAGTATGGAGAAATTAAGAGTATGTACCTAACTTTTATAAACTTAAACTATTACTTTGAAATGATATGCTAAAAGTTTGTTAATTATTTTCAGTCAATATTAATTAAGAATAAAAATATAAGTTATGTGAAGTTATTTGAAATGTTAATGGGCAAAATTACACCAAAAGTACATGCAAACTACAGAGATGAATTAGTGAAAACTCTTGTAGATTGTTTGGCTACAGATTCTTTATGTTTTTCTGCTTGGAGGTCTTTCTATGTTAAGAATTTATATCAATCTCATCTTCTTTTAACATATATCGGTAATATTTATAATTATTACGAAACGATTTAATGGAAAGTATGATTTTAATTCTATTTAATTTTTTAGATGCAAAATGGAGTATTTTATGTACAAAACTAGAAACAAAATGTTTAAAAGAAACCTGTGTAGTATTCCAGGCAACAAATGAAAGGTGGAAGAAGGGTAGAGACGAAAATCTGGCTAATAATTGCAGTAAAATTTGTAAGGTAAGTCTTGAGGTAAACCTTGAAAAAAATAATGATATATAATTATCATTATACACAGTACCTCTCTCACTGGAAGACACAAAGGGGACTACATTATAGGAGGTTAATATTATTCTGTATTAACGGTTAAATGATTATTCGAGTTGTCGTAGAATAAAGAACGGAAGAGTAGTCGTGCGGTACTGTTAGTGGTATTTGCTTTGTCTCTTCTAACGGGAGAGTCGCTATATATAGTACGGACGAATTAGCATACAAATATAATATGTAAAAGTTTATTAAAAGCGTTAAATTAAATATTTATTTTTACGTGATGAAAACTATTTGATGCAAAATCATTTAAAGTGCCCGCGTAGTACTTACAATTCTTTTGTATCTTACGTGTGCGCAGGCACTTAACATCGGTTCCGCTGTATATGACGTATAAATTGTATTTTGGCAAAGTGCCGAAGTTCACACGTGAACAGGCTCGTTTAAATATCAATACAGTTTACGGCAAATGTTTTCGAAACTTTTGCTGGAAGTTTAATTGTATCGTTAAAAGTTACGTGGCCAACCGTTGGACATCTACGATAAATTTGAATCTTGACTATAGTTTAGGTTAGGTAAGCTTGTTTTTTCGAGGAGAGATTATTGATCGCATATTGTCCTTTCGACGGTAACGCTGCTACGACATTTAACATCATTCGTCGTATATCTTTTTTCAATAAAAAACGTTGGCGAAACGGTATTTTAATATAAATAGTTTAGAAAATATCTTTTTTTTTTTTACTAATTCAGAAGGTAAGAAGTGTATATAATTACATAAGAAATATAAAATCCTCTTAAGCAAATCAACAATATGTTTGTTTTTATGGTATTCAGATTGACCTCTGATAACTGTACTGCTTAGAAAAGGTCTTATAAGCATTTTTAAGTAATGAATATATTTCCATGAAGATTAACTTTACAATACATCATTGTATTACAGGTATTGTTAATGAAAATGACAGCTTCCACCGATAAAAAATTTCCTTGGAAAAAAGGAATTATTTTGTTATTACTTCTTACTGCTGTCATAGTCGGTTATGATACTTGTAAACAAGGCTGTTTTAAAGGTAATATAAATATTTATTTTGCACATTTTATTGTAACTGTAAATTACTAATATTATAATTACATAGCACCCAATACAAGTAAATGTCTGAGAAGAACTATATTATATACATATGGGCAGCAGTCATGGACAATAGTGCAAGAATATTCCTCTAAAGGTCTTGAATTTATAGAAGCTACTTCTCCAGAATATTATAAAGCAACCATTGACACGTGTAAACCTTACATGAAATTAGCTGGAGATGTTTATCTTGTGATGAAAAATGTTTTCTTCAAAATTTATGAAAATGTTGCAGAATATAGTATAAAGAATGGACCTGTGGTTTTAGAAACAGTGAGTATCAGAAACTGTGATACAATATTTGCTTCATATATAAATATTTATATTGTTTCTAGATTGAATATTATGTTCCGGGAATGTTAGGTAAAATTCGTTTGTGGAGTAATCAGGGTTTAGAATTTGTAATAGTATACTCAAACTTATACGCTGAAAAACTTACTGAATATTCAGTTGCAACATTTCGATGGCTAGAACATAATGTTTTTGTGTAAGTATACAAATTTCCCAGAAATGATAGTTTCAAATATTAAACATTTTTTTTTTTTTTTAGAGGAAAATTAAGCCCTGAAAATTTACAAAATTATGCTTCAAAAGCAATTGATACAACACAATCATTGGCAAGTCAGACATATGATTGGGTGTATGAAAAAATGCAAACAGTCTAAAGTTTCATGGATGAAATTCATTAGATGTTGCAAACTGATTTCCTCTGTGAAAATCTCCCACACCTCAGCATTTAGTTTTATGATTCCGAAGTTAAAATATTACATATTTCCAAATATATTGTGGCGGCCATTTTACCTGTGATATTTGAAACATGTATAATATTCCAATGAATTATGATATTTTAAAAACCTGCAAATTTTATGAGAATGTCAGTTTTTTTAAAGTTAATATCTATGTCTAAATAATGATTAAAGTAATATATAGACTATTTTATTTAGTACTAAACTTAAACCTGTTATTTTATATATTTGTGAATGTATTTTCATTTAATGTTTCTGATATGGTGATTGAATAAGAATATAACAAGTTAACGTGTGAATTGAATAATGTATTAAATAAAGATATTTTTTGCTCTTTTTTTTTTATAAAAATAAAGGAAAAGTAGAGAATATGGTTAATTTTATAATATATATGTATAAATATAAAACATTAGCCTAATATATGTTTGTAATAAGAATAACAATAGTGATGCTCATAGGAGTTGTAAAATAATGTTGATAAATATAGGTGTGGTAATAATTATTATTATAAATATAATTGTAATAGCGCTAGTAATTCAACTAATGGCGATGATTATAGCGATAATGATAATTTTAACAAGAAAATATTTTATATGGATAGAGATCGGTGGAATATGACGTTCGTCGCATCCATTAAGCTCTGTAAAAATGAGTCTTTCATTCCATTCCTTCTGAGAAATGATTTTGGTAGAAATTATTTTCCTTTTTTCACATTATATATAGTTTCACAGCTTTCTTCCCTGATTACATGTACGAGTGTGCACTGCTAAACACACACTGATTATAAGGTAGCATTTCATTCGTGATTAATATGTTAAAGTTCATGAGGAAAAAAAACTTTCATTGTGTTTTTATATATTTGATTGCACAAATATTCTTCTTCTTCGTCTCTGATTCGTGCAAGTACTTCCAAAATTTGGCTGTAAGGATAAAATTAATAGATAATTTATATTCTACTTGTTATATTGACTAAAACTTATTTGTAATTTTATTTTACCAGAAATATGAACAATCGTAATTTAATAATTTATGATTATACTTTCACCAACAAATTAATATTTACACTATAGTGCATGGTTCATTTCTTCCTTTAATCATTCGGTCAGGTTGCCATTTTTCTTTTTTAATTGATGGGAAGTTGGTAATGACATCTTTTGCAGCAGCATGAGTTGGCCTTATTTCGCACCATGGACAATCAGTTTCTATCATTAACCTATCTGACGGAATTGTCGTTATCGCAAACAGATTTTCCTCTGTTTTAAGAGAACTATAAATAAGATGAAATCAGTATTATAATAAACTGGAAAAAGTAGATCATTTATCATACCATCCATTAATACCAATATACAATCCCATTTGTAAAATAGAATTAGCTTCTTCTGGATTACCATCAAAGGAATGTACAACACCAGCTGTTAATATGTCCTTATGTTTTCTTAAAATTCTTATAAAATCTTCACTAGCATTGCGACAATGTAAAAACATTGGTAACTTTAAAGTGGAACACAATGATAACTGCATTTCAAAATACTTTTTTTGAACATCTTTAGAACAAAATTGTAGTCTATCATAATCTAGTCCCATTTCACCAATAGCAATAATTTTGTCTTTATTGTCTGCAGCTAAATCAGATAATGATTTAAGATAGGCTTCTGGATCACCACTATCTTCAAATTCATTACAACGTGTTGGATGACAACCAACCGTAGAAAACAAACGTTCTGGAATATAAATAACAATGAATACATGATTATGTTTAATAAAAAAAATTAAAATGATAGCATAGTATGTACCTAGATATATCCACTGACATGCATTTTGATGTTGCAGTTACAGAATAGAATCACAGCAACCATTGCATCTCTCTTTCAGCGGTTTCTTCATATATAATGATTGCATCGCGATCTACTAATAACAAACAAACAATAATTATATAATGTAATCAAACTTTACCCTTACAGTTAAAAGCCTGCAAGGTACATAAAATAAATGTACTTGTTTATAATATGTCAATAGTTTTATGTAAAAGTTACATTTTGAAAATCATAAACTAGCTGCCCGTGATAGAGAGACGCGACAGTGACGATGCTTCATTTTTTTTTAATTAAATCACATGCATTTTAATAAATAGGATTTATTTAAAAAAAATAAACACTTTACCATCTGTTCGTGCTATTTCAAGGGCCTTTTTGCTTTCTGCAATATTACTGGCAGTAATTATAATTTTCGAAAGATTGTTGTTCCAACTTCGTTCTAAAACTTTATCTAAATCTGGCTGATGTTTCTGAGATCCATGATAAATTCCTTGATACATAGGATCTGTCAAATTGGCCCCGATATCTATAATAAAATTGAGAACGATAGATTGTATCATTCATGAATGTATAACCTTTCGAGAAATATTTTAAAGCAACAAAAAGATGTATTATAAACCACGTATACGATTGTTAAGTATTAATTGTTAACGTAATCATTTAGTAAAAGATTGAATTACCTATAAATTTTCGTAAATTACTCATTCTAACTGCAAGCATTCAACCTATCGATGAAATGACAGCTTTCTCGGACACGATACTGTACAAAAGGTTAGCAGGTGTCTTGTTTAACCGGCGTTGTACAATGGCATTTAACTTCATGGGATATTTGACGTTTCATGAGAACCGATATTATACCTTCATATTATTTATTAAAATTAATGTTTGTTGACTGTAATGGATTATATTAATTTTTCGTCATCATTTTCTATATATAACTGTTATAATTAATTAATAAAAAATATGAGATAAACAATTTACATTTCTTTATTATAAATCAATTATTTATTACAAATCTTAACTTATTACATAGGTAGGGTTTTCTAACTTAATATTTAAACATTTTAAAATTATTGTTTAAACTATTTTTTTATTAAGTCTTTAAGTGTAAGCAAAAATTTCATTACTGTAAAGATTTTACAATGGAATTTATTTTCTCAACACATTCTTCTTTCTTTTTAGTAAGGACTGCTTCAGCTTCTACAAATTGTTGACGACCGATTTTACCCGGTACCAATTTGTCGACATATAATGCTTGTTGTTGATTGTACAATTCTTTCAATGTTCTATCATATTTTTGTAATTCTTGAACACGATCATATATGTCTCCAGATTCTCCTTTCAACCGTTGTGCAATTTCAGCAATAGTGCTTGTTGCACTCTTATATTCTTGATTAATGCTTTTCACAACAGATAAAAATGCATTAGCATCCTTATTTGCTTTTAAATATGCCAACTGATCATCCAATTCATTATAAGAAGTTACTCTACGATCTTGTGCAGCTAAAATTTTTTCACACTGTCCAGCAATTCGTAATTTACTTTCTGAAATTTCATCTTTATCAATCGAAAAATCAAGTCTGACACATGTAATCACTAATAAGAATAACAAGTATAATGCTGCTGCTATGAGTAATGGTTCTTGCAACATTAATATACGTGGGAACTTGTATTTCAGTTTGAAATTTTGAATATGATTTTCAACCAAATTTTTCTTTGTAATAGAAATTACTGGACGACCAGTAACATCTAAGTATGTATAATGACGTGAATCTGGTAAAGATATTGCAGAATATGGAAGGTTCAATTCAATATTTGTTGAACCCTCTGGTAAAATAATTTTTACAATTAATTCATCTACTACCATGTCATCGAATACGTGGTCCAATAATCTCATTTCTAATGTGTATTGATCACCAGAGTGAAATAAATATTCATAACTAGGAACATTATATCCTACTATATATTTAGTTTTCCAACCACCAAAAAGTGGAAATCTTGGGCGTAAATTTAATTCTACCGAATCTTTCTTGATACGGGTATGTGATGTTGAAATATTTCCAATTTCATCTCTATAATAAATATCGGATGCAGCAGCAGGTAAAACAGTATCAAAACTTTGAATACTGGCTTGTCCTGACTTTGACTCTCTAGCAAATTCATAACGTGAAAATGAACCTTTTAATAATGCACCAGTATGTAATAAATCAATATGTTCTTCTACTGCGATGTTGCCCCAATGTGATATTTCAATACTTCTTTCAAGTCTAGTAACAGTGAGGAATTTATTGTTGTTTTCAAAATGAATGTTTAGTTCCTCATAAGCAAATGGCGGAAGCTTCTCATACGGGCCGTATGTAATAACTGAATCACTTTGTGAGACTGGCTTAAATTTAGTGTAACTTTCAATGTTACGTGATGGTAAAGATACAGTGGTTGTTTGTTTTGTTATACTATATGGTGAATAAAGATAAATATTTCCTATATATTTCACTAACTGCTTTTCCTTCTGTGTGATCTCCTTCGGATGAGGCACAAGCTCATGTGTTAATGTCCATTCTATTTCTACAGACACAGTCCTCCCAGGAGAAAGAGGATCCTTTAATTCAACTTGATAAAAAGTCTTATCTGGATGCGCCGCTATTTTCGTTTCGACTAACTTCAATTCAACTCGTACAGGCTCTTTGTAAGCTGCTATGTAACTGAGACTGTGTTTTTGCTTCGGTTCCAATGAGAAAAGAAAATTTCGTACATGACGATCTTGGCTTCCATTTTCTAATATAATTCTGGCAGTAATTTTTGTTAATTGTGATTGTAAATCGATATGTTTTTCCACGCTTTTAAAAGTTAGATCATGATCAATGGTGTTACCCGTGACAGAAGATAGAACAAGTAATCCAAAAAGCAATCCGATATTTCGTATTAACATATTTATATTCCCTTTGATCATTATGTTTCATAAAAATTTCTTGAACCTTATGGTTATTTAACACTTTTGTCTAACCGGCAAACGAGTTACACTCAGCACGTTATAGACGTGGCGTTCATTTGATTATATGTTATGTAGATAGGAAACCTAAAATGTTTCAAAATTATTCGTCCGTACTGCATGCACAACGCGGTTAACTTCAGCAGACTTCTCAACACAAAAATATATGAAAACAGTTACTAATCATTAAACATAATCTTTTCTATGGCTATGATGCAAACTTTGCACGTGTTCTGTATGTATAACATAGAGGTAGTTAGAGGTTGTATAAAATACGTAATAAAAACGATACATAATAATATTTATATAAAAAAAGAAATAATAATGAGTACTCATGTAATTATGTAATTGTTTATTTTCAAGTAGGTGAACACGAACATGAATGGTGTAACTGTTATATATAGATAGTTACAATCTTTTGAATATCATCATGCTACAAAATATTTACAGCCCTATTAAGATATATAACTGCATAAAGAATTTAGTTGATTAAATAGTTAATATTGAATTTAAAAAGATGTTGATGTTTCGAATTACATCTGCTTCAAGGCAGTCAACAAATAGTTTGTAAGTAATATACATATCCCTATGCAAGATATCTTACAAACTTATTAGTTTTGAATCTTAATTGTTCTTTAAGGAAACTACTTAAAAATAATTAATATAATTTTATATTAACAGCTTGGGATCATTACATATGAATCAAATTTGTAAATCATATTTAAAGGTATTTAATAAAGCTCAGACAGTGTTTTATAGTAATTTAAGAGAAAAATCAATTTTTGTAACATCAAATAAATTTAAAGAAGTAAGAAAATATAAATATATATATATATATTTCAAATTTTATGAACTTGTTAAATCTATTATGATGATTTTAATTTTTGCAGATAAATAATCATGATAATAATAGGATAAATCAGCATGGACAGGTATTTATATTAATTATATTGATAATATGAAGGAAGTTAAAAGTTACTTTAATAGTCATATTAATGTGATATTAATATTGTAGCAAAATATGGATTTTCATAAAAATGCATTAAATTTTCAGCATTCAATGAGAAAAATACAAGGTAACTATGATAAAAGACAATTTTTATTATATTAATAGAAAATTAAATATACATGAATTCAATAAATATTTTTTTGTTATAAATTTCAGACACTGAAAATGGGAAATCAAATTCTGTGTCAACTCTAGATGCTATTTATCAGGCTGTCGATAACGAATTGAACCAAAAGTGCCTATCAATCTCATTCTCAACACTGCAAAATGAACAGGGCAAGAATATGGTGAAATGCAGTATTGACATTAAATGGCCTCAGGATATGTCATTTTCTTATGAGGCAGACAATAAGAAAACTGCTAAACAGATTGCAGCAAGGATGTGTTTACAATGGCTTGATAAAAATAGGAAAATTAAGAAACAAAAACCTGTATTGTACAGTTACAAAGATATTCAACGTATTTCAGAAGAACAAAAATCTGTTGAAATAAATCTTGAGTCAGAATTTAAAAATGAGATACAAACTTTAATACATACATTTAAACAAGTAAAATTTATCTATATACATATATATTTATTTATTAATTTAATATTTTATACCAATAAATACATTTAATTATTATGCATAATAATTATTTGTAGGCCATACAACCAATAATAAAAGAGCAACCTATGATTGATTCTGAAGCAAATAATTCAGACGAAAAACAATTTAAGTATGAAGCAAACACATCTTTTTATCAAGAACGTAATTCTAGATTAGCAAAACAATTAAAAAATAGAGAAAATAAAATATGTAATTTACCTATTTCTAACTATAGGTATGTATACATATGGATACACACACGCTCCCGCATGCACGCACAAGTTATTTTTAATTTACTAAGATAGACAAATTTTTTTTTAGGCAAGAAATACTTGACATATTGAAATCTGATCAAGTACTATTAATTAAGGGAAATACTGGTTGTGGAAAAAGTACTCAAGTTGCACAATTTATTATGGATGAATATACAAAAGAAAATCGAGCATGTGAATGTAATATTATTGTGACACAACCTCGTAGAGTTGCAGCAATTTCTTTAGCTTATCGTGTTGCATCGGAAAGAAATGAGAAAATGGGGGATGTAATTGGCTATCACATACGGTTTGATAACATAAAACCAAAACTGCATGGTTCTATTATATTTTCTACATCTGGCATATTACTGCGAATGCTGGAAAGCAATCCTACTTTAGAAGGAATATCGCACGTGATTATAGATGAAGCTCACGAGAGAAGTGTACACAATGATATTTTACTAAAATTAATGAAAGAAATATTGCAAAAAAATCAATCTATAAAATTACTTATTATGTCTGCAACTATAAATGAAAGTTTATTTCAACAATACTTTTCCTGCAAGGTTATTGATATTCCAGGAAAATTATATCCTGTAAAAATGCACTTTAAAGAAGATATTCAGATTTTTCAAAGCAAATTGAAAAAACATGGTTTAATAGAATTAAGAATTCCTTTTGGCGAAATAGTACAATTAGTACAGTGGATTGTTAAAAATAAACCACCTGGATGTATTTTATGTTTTCTCCCAGGCTGGCAGGAAATTAAACGGCTACACAATTTACTTAAAAATGCAGGGATTGCAAATTTATTGATATTACCGCTTCATTCGAAAGTGTCACATGAAAATCAACTTGAAGTTTTTGACCCAGCACCTAAAAATATGACAAAAGTCATTTTAGCTACAGACATTGCAGAATGTAGCGTTACTATTGAAGACGTCTGTTACGTTATAGATACTGCTATTAAAAGAGAATATCAATGGTATGAAAACGACACTGAACCCGTATTGACATTTAGTTTGGTATCAAAAGCAAATATTGATCAAAGGTAATGCCTTTTTATAAGTTTCATATTTTTTATTTTTAAACAGAATGAAAGTATAAATGATAATTCCACAAATATTTAGAAAAGGACGAGCCGGACGCACTAGACCTGGTGAAAGTTATCATTTAATTACAAAGAAAGAATACGACACATTGGATTTGGATCCCAAACCAGAAATATTTACAGAACCGTTGGAGGCTACAATTATTACTATAAAAAAACTCAGTAACGAGAAAGTAAACGATTTTTTTAGCAATATGCTTCAATCACCTAGTAGTAAATCGATATGTAATGCTCTAAAAAATCTGAAGGCACTTGGATTTCTTGACGATGATGAAAATCTTACAGACTTAGGAAAGCGTGCATCGCATTTTTCATTAGATCCAAAACTAAGTAAAGCAATAGTGTTGTCTTATGTTTTCCAGTAAGTAATAATACATAAATTTTGTCAAGTTACACTGTCTAATTTAAACAACTCATTTTCATTATTTAGATGTGTAAAGCCGATATTATCATTAGTCTCTATACCGTTTGGCGAGAGTTCTACTGTTTCATTAGACGAAAAATTAAGCGAAAAATCAAGCATTAAATCACAGAAACTTAAGTTTCATAAAACAAGCGATCATATCGCTATGTTACAATATTACAATCATTGGTCGTCACCTGATAATAAGTTTGAAAATATTTTTGCACCTTCATATTTTCATACTGCGAAACGTAAGTATCAGTATATTTCTTAATAGTTATATGTAATATGTGCTTCGATATTTTAATCAGTTGTTGTTTGTTTGTAGAATTGCAGAAACTGCATGCGTCTGAACTTATAAGTAGCGGATTGTTTACTTCATCATTCGACAGTAATAGTATAAATATGTTCTGTAATAATTATGAATTAATTCGGGCAATATTGTTTGCAGCAACTAATCATTTAATAAAAAGAAATGCGTATGGATATAAAGGCTATTACACCAAATATGCAAATACCTTAAGATCTGAGTCAGTATATACATACTTTTATAAAAGCATATATACGGACTACACGAATTAAATTTCTAATTTGTATTTTTAGAGATTCTACAGTAGTCGAGGTTAATAACGATAGTGTCAACCATAATAGGAAAATGTGGCCAAGCGAAGTAATGACCTATTTGAGAAAGAGAAGAGTGTCTAGATTGTACACAATTTCTGAAACGAGCATGTTAACACCTTTATCAGTTTTGTTATTTAGTCATAATGACATTCAATGCTTTAAGGTATGTTTTTAAAACATATTTAAGTAATAATATTGTTTCAAAATTGTAAAATTTTGTTTACAGGATACGGAAAACTGTCCTAATGAACAGGAAAAAATCTATATTAAACTAAACAATATCGACAACGTAGAATTTTGTTGCGACGAAGAGTTTGTATTTTTATATTTATTTTTCAAGTGGTAAACCTATAAAACATTTTTTATAAACTATTCTCTTTTTCAGAACGGCAAAACTACTATTACAGTTTCGAACTATAATATGGAATCTAGTAGATTATATAATTAAATACCAAGGTGTAAATACTAATGAAGATAATTTGAAAGCAGTTAAATCTTATAAAACAAAAGTAATGACTGTCCTTGCAAATATGTTAGAAAAATCATCAACGAATATCGATTCTAGTACTGAATGTTAGTAATAAATTATTAATATTATTTAATAAATCCTCCTTACTGTTTAAATAGTATAAAAGATTATTCTGTAGATATGTAGAAATACCTTGATACAACAGACATTATTAAATTTATGGACAAAAACTGGTGAACATTGTAAAGTTCTTAAAATTATTTATTACGTATTGTATCTTTATTTTTATTGTACAATCTCTTGTAATGTTAAACCACAATAGTATAAATAAACACAACTTTAAAATTGTAGTCTTAATAATATCACCTTTATTTAATGCAAATTTACATCGTGTTAATTATTTAATAAGTTCAAAGTACTCAAAAAGCAAGATACTTAAGTCTTTCAAAATTTATACTTACGCGCTCAGAAAATGGTATTGTCAGCATCATCTGGCGGGCGGAATCAGGAATTATTTCTGGTATTAGGAGCGCAGAAAAGTGAAGGAGGTATGCGGAGTAGAAGGTATCCCGCGTACACGGCGCGCATGCGCAATGGAGCTATCGTTACTCGATATAGACGATAATACAAAAAAAATTAATTATTCATTTTCTGGACGCAATTTATGAACTTTTATGATTGAAGAATGTTCAGTGATTCTTTAGCTACTTTCTCGTGTCACTTTTGTTCGAATTTTTATTGAAATTAATTAGTTATTAAATAATATCCCACTGCAAGACGCTACATCACTCGGTACATATGAGACTTGTATAGAATAATTATTTAATAGCAGGTTTTCTGAAGACAATTTATGCACTTTTATGATTGAAGAATAATCAATGATGCCTCAGCAATTTTCTCGTGTCGCATTTGTTGCGATTTTTGACGAAAATAATTAGTTATTAATGAATATCCTATGGCCAGGTACGGCGTCGCTACGGACACATGAGCCTAGTCATAGGTTATTCAGTAATAACTAATTATTTTGATTAAAAATCGTAACAAATTTGACATGAGAAAATTGCTGAGGCATCATTGATTATTCTTCAATCATAAAAGTGCATAAATTGTCTTCAGAAACAAATAATATTTAAAAAACGTGTAATTAAGTAATTATTCTAGTCAGTTCGTGTGTTCCGAATGCGATGATCCGATACCTTGCAGTTCGATATTAATAACTAATTTATTTCAATAAAAATCCAAACAAATACGATATGGGAAAGTAGCTAAGGAATCACTGATCATTCTTTAATAACGAAAGTGCGTAAATGATATTTAGAAAATACGTAATTAATTATTTCAAATTAGCTGGTACGTACGGGGTGTAGCGCCGACTTCGTGCTGGAAATTATTTAATAACTAATTATTTTCAATACAAGTCTGCACAAATGGGATATGTGAAAGTAGCTAAGGGATCACTGATCATTCTTCGATCATAAAAGTTCACAAATTGTGTTCAGAAAATGAGAAATTAATATTTCTTCATTATCGTTATTGTATAACTCTACTGCGCATGCGCGTTGAATGCTCGAGATACCTCCTATTCCGCATACCTCCTTTACTTCCTGCGCTCCTAATACTTGTCATTGCGCATGCGCGCTGCTTGCGCATGCGCGCTGCGTAGTGCCTATTGCGCATGCGCGCCGTTTGCGCGGGATACCTCTTATTCCGCATACCTCCTCTACTTTTCTGTGATCCTGCTACTAAAAGTAGATCCTGGTACCCGCCCGCTAGATGGCGTTAGTATAGAAAGTCGAAATTTTTCATATACCGTAGTTCCACCCCTCACCGCTAGATGGCTAGACTTTTTGAAGTCCATAAAATGCATTATTTTTTAATTTCTATTTCCTTTCGATTCGACGTTACTACTAAGTTATACTAGCCATGCCAATTTCGCAGGGGGCATTGATATTAAATAAAGACAACGTAATTTGCGGAAACATTTTATTATATATTTAAAAGACATTAGATTTTGAGTCCTTGTCGAGCGCGACTCCATATTTCTGATTCACAATATACATTCTAATTTTTGATCAAATCTTTACAATATTTATTCGTAACAATAGAATAATGTTCTTTTCTTCCAAGACGGTGTAAAATATACTTACAAACTATCGCTATGTCATTCAATATATTAAATTCTATTTCGTATATACATTTGGCAGGTACATTGAAGCATGCGCTTCTGATATAAATACGTATAATGAAGTATTAAAAATATTGAATAGAAAAGTGTTAGTGGACGGTTTCTTGTCTAACAAATGTTTTCCTTTCGCACGCATACATATATATTAATTTATAATAATTTAACGCGATAACAATAGGATATATTAGAATACGCGTATTTAAAATTAACATAAATAAAATAAACCTTTGTCGCCGATAATGAATAGGATTAACTGTATCTTATGCTGCAACAAGGAAATAACAAGATTTAATTAATCTATACCTATATAATGATGTGTTAATGAATAGTTGTAAAAAATAACGATAACGTATGTATTAACAAAGTCGATAAAAATCAGCATAGAATATTAATACCGTTTTGGCAAGATATCATTCGCATGCGCGATTATTTTTACAATATTGTATATTGACTGGAACATTTGAATAACAGTATCGTGACGCAGAAAAAATTGACAAAAATATATATTAAATAATTGATTTCTTGTAAAGAATGGCCTAATGTATACTCTGTGAAAAATAGAAAAAGTCTAAGCGACTTTCTGTATCTAAAGATAGTATTAAGTATTAAATATTTAGTAAAATAATATAAAGCAACGATGTTTCGTAACTTTTCACATCGACTAGTAATAACGTTCTGTTATTGTACATTATAGATATTATAATTTTCTCGTTAGTAGTATTGCACACTTCCGGCCATGTTTTCATTAAATTAAATCTTACAATGGCAGTTATTAAACAACGTAGGTTATTATACTAATGATATACTAATTGTTGAAATAATTATTGATAGCAACCATAGTTAAATAAATACATTTAACAGTAACGTAGTCTCATAAATATGTATCAGAATTTCATACTTCTACGCTCTTTTACCCGCTTGACGAACTTTTAAACGCGTGGCGCTTAATATTTCATTAAATTAGAAACGGATAATTCTATAAATTAACAATATTTTATATTTACGATTTCTAAAATGGAAGAAGCAGTATACTGGCCGTAAACTTAAACGATACTAAGTACCTGTTCCGGAATAAAATACTTGTTGCCACTCGCAAAAATCTCTGTCTAATCTGATGGCAAGTTGATTTTGATTTTTACTCGTTCCGAACGAATTGTCGCATGTGGAACAACTGTGTCTCCTTGTAACGTAACTAACAAAATTTTCTCTAATCTATCCGAATTTAATTTCTAGTGGCAGTAGAGTAATCGTTAAATTGCTTCCGTTGGGGGAAGGACCGTGATGAAACTCTCGGTCTCGCTGTCGCTGGTGCTGAAATTCGTTCTCTCCGAAGCTCCAATTTCATTTCTGATGCCGAACGGCTGAAAATACGCATTACCGTCTACGCTCGAGTCGAAGCGAGAAGATTCCGCTAGTCTTCGAAAGTTTCCAAAGAATACGCTGTCGGTTCCTACGCTCTCAGCGCCACTTTCACTGGCTCCATCACAGACAGATTCCGTCTCGTCGGTTTCAGAGACGCTGCTCACTTCGTGTTTAAGCAGTTGCTTGTGCGACCCGTTGCTGTCCGTACTGCTGAGGTATCCACTATCTTCGACTTTGATTCGCGGCGATTGACAATCGAATACGCGATTCACCGAACCGTTTATCGATTCGAAGCTTCTGGAATGCTTGACCGAGTGTTTCTTGCAAGTCTGATATTCGTCGTGCTTTTTCTGGCAGTCTTGTTTAGATTTCTCCCCTGGCTTGAGCTTGGTCAACGCGTGCTGATGACACTGATTCAAAAGCTTCTTCCTGTCCTTCTGACAGCAGCGAGCGTTATTCCAGGACGAGGATAAGTTAGTCTTGGAGTTGTCGACGGAATGCGCATCTACTCGATGCCTACATCTGGTTATCGATTGTTCGGACAGTGCTCGAGACTCGCAAGAGCAAGGACGATCAGTGGCCCCTACGTTAAGGTCGTCGCTGCGGACAGGAGCACCGTCGCTGGTCGTAGGGTCACCCGCTTCGGCAGGACTCCTGTCCCAACCGTTTTTTGACACGAGGGAGGATAATCTCGCGTCTTTCACGCGACGCGGGGGTTTAGGGTGCTGGTAGATATCTTCCGTAGGCGGTAACGGCACCACGTCGGGCTGGTTACTCGGCTGTCGCTGTCTCTTCAACTGCCTGCTCTCCGGTGTTAGGTACTTGCATCTTTTCCAGGAGGCAGTGTCCTCCGCGTGGCCGTTCAACGACCTCGTGCTGCTCGACAAGTTGGAGTCTCTGATGTTCGATTTCAACCTAGCTTCGTAGATCTCTCGAAGACTACCGTAGCCGCGTTGCAAAGGCGTGTTGCTTCTCGTCGAGTCTTGATCGCGAAAGCTACCTTTACTTTTGAGCAGTATCTGGGCAGGTCTTTCGAGAGAGTCCACGTAAATTTCTTCCGGAACATCCTTCTCGTAGTTCACGTCGACGTTGATCTTCAATTTCATCGGTTTCCTGTCCAACGTATCAGGCTCGTATTCGGACTCGTCTTGCTTCACGTAGTTCTCCGGCGAGTCTTGTACTTTGATGGTCAAGTGTCCCGGGTTCTCGGGCTCGTAGCGAATCTCTGGACCAGAATCGTCGCTACAGGCTGGGCTGTCGTAGCCGTCGTTCACGTACACCTCGCTGACCAACGAATAACTCTCGGATCTCTGCGAAGAGATCAGTTCGGGCAGACTATTATAGTAGTTCCTCTCTAGAACGTCTTTGTTCAGTTTATTGGACGTCATAGTTTCGCCGGTTCTGGTATTGATCACCGCGTTCTGCATCGTTAATTCCTCGTCCATCGGCAACGCCGTGGATAAAGAGGGACTCGACTGATTCGTAGACTCGGGAGATATCGATGATTTTCTGCTGCATTTCGAACGCTCCAAACTGTCCACCTCGTAATCCGTGCCATTTCCGGATCTGGAATGATGTTCCAGCACCTTTGCGTCGACCATCTCGCGAATCACGGCGTCCATAATGCGTTTTGCGGTGTTCTTCGCATTAGGAAGCTCGTTGATCATGTCTGGTAGCTCTTTTGTCGTCGTCGAACTCTCGTTCGGTTTCTTCTCTCGTTTGCGCGACGAGCCATCGTTGGAAATCGTCTTCTCTGTTCCTTCGTCTTTGCTTTCGGCAGAGATCGTCTCCTCTTTCGCGGTCTCCTGTTCGTCGTTGGTTCGAGGTTTTAAAACGGAATTCTCCTCCATTTGTTCGATGAACGAGTTCTCTATGGCTTTTCTCACTTTAGCGTTCATAGTGTTGTTGCCGTTAGAATCGTCTCCGTTTCTTCGAGAATAATAGTTGAACTCTTCGAACATCGACTTGGTGGAACGGTTCGAGACACTGTATCGGTCATTCGTCTCGAGGATTTCGCTTCTGGCCACGTTTCGACACATTTTCCCCATCGATGGATTGTCCTTCCACGAAGCGAGCTTCCTCGTCAGACTCTTTGTACCCGTCTCAAAGTCTTGCTTGGCCATTTCTTTCAAGTATTCCAGATTCTTTTCGAAATTCTTGTCATCCTCCTGAACGATCATCCGACATTCGTTCGCGTTCTTCCAACGACGCTGCGGAGTCGAACGCACGTCTTCTAACCACGCTCGTACCTTGCTCTCACCAGGATTGAGAGGATCGGTTCCCGGAAACGTAGCCGCGTTTCTGATATATTCCGTGCAACCGGGGCACCCTGTGCATCGTTGAGGCTTTCGCGATTTTGTGATGGACCCTTGTACGGAGCTGGAAGTCGACCGATGTTGGCCCTTGTCGTTTGTGTCGTATCGGTCCGGGTTGCTTTCCTCTTCTGGAATACCTAAAATTATCGGTAATAATGCATGAAATCGAATCCGTTAACATCATTTCTTTGCTCAGAGCGATAACTTACTGACAAGGGTGGGTACGAATCTCTTTGCGACCATCTTGTGTTTCGCGATGGATATGACCTCCCGGATTTTGAGAAGGAACTCGATTGCTGCTGGAGGGGGAGCCTAGAAAAATCCCGGGCTGTCTTTACATTATCTCGAAATTATCAGAGCACGCGAATTATTCTCGTTGTTTTCCTAATAATAATTTTTAATCATTTCTTATATTCGTGGAAATTTTAAAACCTCCACTTACAAGCAACAATTGTCTGTCAAAATAGGCAGGGTTAAAGTATAATTTCCGTCGCTGAGCACCGGGTAAGACAGGAACATCTTGCTGGTGAGGATTGTCCGCAGTTTCCACGACTCGTACATCCTCTTCCGGTATTCGTTCGCCCAAAATCGTCCCGGATCCGAAACAGGTATCCGATTGGTCCAAGTAGACGCAGCGAGGATGAACGATGGCTGATGTTACCTGTTCACGGATAAGCGATATTACATTTTCTTTCGTTCTGAAATAAATTTTGATATGGTACGTACATTTGTTGCGCGCACGTTCTCGAAGCCGTGTTCACCGTCGCTCGCTGGAAGTTCATCGCCAAGATCGCTTTCGGTCAGACCGCTGTTGGTGTCGCTCTCGAAGTGCCTCGAAGCGGCGAGCAACGGGTTGTTCTTCACTAACCCGCTTATTTCTCGGCCGGGCGACAAGCTTACTTCCGGCTCTTCGACGATCTTCCTCTTCACTTTCTTACTGTGAAGATACAACGACACACTGGCAACGTAAATCAGTGCCAGAATCACGGACGACAGACCTATGGCTGTATATTCTGTGGCCGAAAGTCCCTGAGACAATTGCGTCGTCGAGGAAAACGTCACTTCACGAACGTCTAAACAAAATCGCATTTTATAATAAAAGTTAACCAACCGAAGGCAATATTTATTAATTGCTCACTGTTTTTCGACGGTGAACCAGCTACCCTGAAAGCTACGCACGGCGTGAACACACCAGGAAATTTCGACTTAGGAGAAGCATCCCTGCAGACGAGTTTGGCAGTCACGACGCGACCCTCTGCAGCTTCCCTCAGTCCTGTTTCACCGATCCACTGCAACGAAATTTTGAGAATTCGAAAGAATTCGAAGCGAAGAAATATTAATGTTACCAACCTGCAAAAACGTCCTCCCCTCGTCGCGAAACAGTCTAAACGGTGGCTCGGTGTCCGAAAGGTTCCTCAATTCCGACCATCCTGCTCTTCCTAATTGCTGAGCACCGGTTATTCCGCACACTGGCGTCGCCACACCTTCGACGATTAAACGCATTTTTCTTCATACGGTCAATTATTAATTTAACTAGATAGAATCTCGATATTTTCTCGACTCACCTTCGAAACAGATTTCTGCATGGGGATAAATTATCTGTCCACGTTGGGGTAGGTAGACGTACGGCACTTTTTCAATTTGACCCGTGCTGCTGACGAAACCAGCGACGTTGCATTCTGCAAACAAAAATCGGATTAATTTTTCGAGTAAAAGTGGAATATCAAGATTTGTTAGGAGTAAGCCGGTGATTTCGTGCGTATGCAGAAGGCAACTTGCAATTTTGAGTCGCGTATCGCCTGCGGTGATCTGAAAGCGGTGCAATTTACGAAGTTTATTCGAAAACTCGGGATGCATCGCACGAAAGTGCAATGGACAGCGAACATTGTCAACGAGACATTCCTGTTGATCGATGATCACGCAAGAAGGAGAGCGAGACGTGTTGGCATTTTTTCGAGACCTACCCGTTCAAGTTGTCCAGTTATTTCGACGAAGAACAACGAGGCGAAGGTTCTAAGACCGGTTTGATTAGGTATCAAATTATTCGCGGTAAATTTCGCGGACGATCCGAACGAATTCGACCGGGGTTATTAACATTTTAACGAGCGACTTTCCTGCTATTCGGTCGGGTAGCAGTTAAAAATTGAACGGTACACGTACGAATTAAGCGGTACGTTTTGCAACGTTTCTCCTGCTCCTCTTTGGGCACGGTCCATGGCCAGAAATTGTCGAACCTGTATTTCAAAAAGAAATAACAAGTGTTCGAGAACGAATTGTCACACGACAATCCTAAGTTACGGGTCGAGCATCGTTAGCAAAAAAATACTACATATAATTGACCACAACCTCCTCGTTACGTACAAACGAATGTACTTTCTTGTACGTTCCTTCTAACCGCTAGGAATTTCTGTAGCAAAGCAAGTATTAATCTTGATACGCTTCTTTGTTGGATTTTTACGCGAGGGGAACGAACACATAGGTGGCAACGTTACAAGTTTCTTCTTTCTTCAGCGAACGCGTACAGTTTGTCGACTAGCGTACCTACGATAAGGAGAATCGAGAAATTAGCGAAGAAGACTCGGACGAATCTAGACGATCAGTGTCACGACCTTAGATCGGTAAATATGCGCACGGAGTTCGTGGCATTTTCTCTTTGGGAACACGTGTGCCGTCTTCTATGAACGTGCGTACCCATCGAGGAAAGTCGAAAGATATACGAGACTCTCCCTTCAGCTTTCTCCTTAAGGAACAATGATGCCCTACTAACCGTAACCGAGCCAATTGAAAACTTCATAAACATTCCGCTCCGGGTTTAGATCCTGGATAGAGTGGACATTATGCATGATCCGACTCATGCGCGATCGACGATTAAAGCGATAGGAGGAAACTCGTGGTCACGTAATTTCATATCGTTTCGTCGATGTCTCGGCAAAGCGATTGCTTCGCATAAAAATGATTGACAATTATTTTCTCGACGTCCGTTAAACGGTCGATTCCGACTCGTCGCATAATTTCGATATTAGATAATTCTAGCAGCGGGTATCGCGCGATCAAACGAGAAACATGCCCGTTAAGAGGATGATTTCTATGCCGTGAAAGAGACAGCCCTCCAAATAAATCTGTTCCGCGAAGCGTTTCCTACGATTTATCGGCCCGTTAAACGAACAAAATTAACAAACCAATCGCCAGACCCGATATTATCGTCAACATTTTTCTCATCGATCCAGAACTTATCTTCCCCGCATGGAAAACAGATTTACCACAAATTTGCCTAAAATTATGTTCATTGCGACCTCCGCGACCGAGAAAAATTACGCAGAGTTTCCGTTGTTTCTGTATTGTTCGTGAACCGGTTGGTCAACGCGTTACAGGTGACAAATACTTATTTTAATGATCCTTTAAAAATTTAATAGAGAACGGCATTTTCCGGAATAACCCGTTTTACTCATTCCGAATCATTGCGACGGAATTTGCGGGTACGTTAAACGCTTAAATCTTGATAAACCTCTTTCGCTAACCGGTACATCTGACAATTAGTGTACGAACATCATTTGCCGAAACGAGTCGCAAAGGTTGCCGATTATTTCCGTTCGCGAAAAGAGAAAAGCGCCTTGAAACATTTTGTAAGAATCGCGAGGTCACGAAAGCATGGATCGAATTGTATTCTCACTTTCATGAAGAGGCCAGGTCGAAGCGGTTCTTTCATTCAAGATTTCTCGAACGATGCTCGAACGTCGGTGTTTCCTCATTAAGGCGATCGCGGAGCGACGCGATTTACGATAATCGACGGTAGAGAGCAATTAACGCCGGCAGCTCTCTTCTCGGTGTCCCCATTTACTCATAGGAGCACGCTGGTCCGGCTACCTGCGTCTGGCTACGATCCAACATCGGATAACGACTCGTTGATTAACGATCGGCAAGCTCGACCCGAAGAAACGAGTCAACGGGGACGATCCACGCCGATGAACCCTGACCTTCGTCGAACCACGACGAATCCTCGAAACCGATCCGTGCCTTCTAAGCTCGCTGATAGATAATGTCACTGGGGAATAGGAATCGTGAAGTTATGGGGGCTCGGTACCGATAAACCGACCTGCTCCGGACGACCTTACTCCGAGTCGGCTGAATTCGTGACGGTTTCACAAAGGTATAATGCGGAAAGTGTTCACGCTCTATGGCGATTAACGTTCTTACCGAAGGGGCACTTGATGAGATTTCCCGAGCATCACCCTCGCATTTCCTACAATAGTGTTTATCCTTCTGACGTAGGTTGGACGTTTATTATCGCTGTTACCAGTTTAATCATAGGTTATTACGAAAAACGAATATCGAGACGGTATCAATTACCCGCGACGGTTAAGAGAATTCTATTACGGCAAACACCTGTGAGTAATATTAGATGTTTCGTTCTATGCCGTTTCCTTTAACTCGGAATATAATAAGTCTTATCGGAGATTACCTCTCGTGTCACTTACGCGCATTGATACGAAGCGGGAAAGTTAATATTATTACCCATCCAATTATAAATAATTCTGTAAATTAATGAATCTGAGCAACGCGCAAATTACAGCTTGTCGCGACAGAATCTCTTCGCTGGCCAAGCGGACATACTCGACCAGAGATATTGTTCCTTGCGGTACTTCTGATCAGGCGCACTGTTGGCCTCCGGTCTTCGAGTGCAGCCATATTCTCGCGAATCGGTTATTTATTGGTCGCGATCGGCCTTGGAAACTGCAAGAGACACGCGACCGTTTGACCCTGAAGGCGCAAACACCGATGCACCGACTGCTTCGGCATTTCTTTAATTGATACCTACCACCGTGCACGAACCAGACACCGATTCTCGCGCGAAACTATGTACGTCGCTAACTGTAAATTATTTTGCCGATTATGAAAAATGAGTGACACTTTCCTATGTAACGAACGGAGTTGCTACTATCTAATCCGTAAATTTCCTCGAAATGGGGGCAAATTCGACGTTCCAGGACCTCCATCGTTTCTCCGAAGCTACATTCCCAGTCAGTGTTTCCGAGTTAACGCGCGAACGAATCTCGATACGATAGATCTATTCGCGCGACGGCGAACAAAATTCGCGAGAGGACAGAATGAAATATTACCGCCGCATACGTTTCTTGTGGATTCGCCGGTTTCGCGAAACGGGTAAAACTGGTACCGTTCCTTGTTTGGCGAAGAAAACTGATAGAAATTGATGACGGGAAAACCGTGAAATTTATAAGGACGTTCTGTCGTTGTGATGACACGACACGGGGCTACAAAAAGGACCTTGTCGCGCTGGCGATATAATTGATGTTCTTGCACGGTTCATCGCCGCATACCTTCGCGATAATTTAATGGGATAATCCTCGCGGTAGGTTGTTGTTCACGCGTTACCTTGATTTTCCTTCCTGACGTAACATCTGTGGACGAAGAGTATTCGGGACAACTGTTATCTCGGTGTAAATATGACCGATGAATTCACGCTTTTGCCGACACTTTGTGGGCGTAATGAATGCAATTACCGGGAAAATAGAATGATGAATATCTATATCTATAAGCGGCTTTTTTTCTCCTCTGATTCATTGCCTATGGATGAAGAGTCGTCGACGACTGACCACGGGGAGTCGCATTAGTCGTTGAATATTAAGTAACTCGAAGATGGAACTACGATTAGGGATTCTTCGATGCAAGCGCGCGATTGAAAAATCGAGACATACGAGGTGCAGTATGGGCACTTGAGATATCGTCGATCGAATCGTCTGCTAATTTTACTTGGAAATTTATTTCGCGCGAATGAATTTTTCCGATGCATTATCGATACCGCTAAGCCTCGCACACGTCGATGTAATTAAAACGAAAGAGAAATATCTATAAACAGACGAAGTAAACAATAAGACATTAGTAGAATAATTGAATACTGCGCGTCCCTTATAATAGTCGCTGGTTGCAATGTTAGAATCGCGTGTACAAGGCGATATTCGGTAGAGTTTAGAGGTCTGAAAAGATTAGGGTCACGCTTGTAATACAGAGAACAATGGAATGCCATTAGCATTTTTACAAAGTTCGATTGCAATTCTTATTAAATGCAAATAGCGTTTAGCTCCTGGTGCTGTATACGTATCATCAACCCAACGATAACAGAATACAAGAATCTCACCATAAGTTATCCGATTAAGTCCGCGAGGATTTTGAATTATCGGAGGAGCACGTCAGGTGTGCAGTGAGTATTCGAATGGTCGGAAATTAAGTTTCGCGTGCACAATACAGAAGGCAGCCATAGTTAGATTATGCGATTGCATCATTACTGGAGCGGTCTGTAAGAGCCCGAGGGCTCAATATTACGAGATGAAATCTCCTCGTGACCTTCTGAAATGAACGGAAAGACTCGGATACGCAGATGTACCTCATTGCTAGATACATTATGCGCTTTCAACAACTGACTCGACGAGTTCTAATCTCCTTGATCGCTATCGACATCTATGGAAGCTAAAATTTGCTTGAAAATGGTGGGATGTGTACTGGAGCAGGCTGAACGGATTCGCGATTTCGATCGGCACTTTCTGAATAGGCTAAGGTTATGCCGATATCATGGGCAAGGTTCATACCAGGGAAGTTAAGTAAGGAATCGGATTCGGAATAGACCGATTATATTTAATAAGCGATTATAATAAGCGATTTAATTAAAATGACGTCGACATTTGTTTTTGCGATAACTATTATAATGTAGCCATCGGTGGATGTACGATGCACAACAGGTATAGAGAGGAAATTACAGTGTACAGTGGGATATTAATCCTTTCTCCGCAACGTACATCAAATCAGAAACGGTGTACGAATTAAGAATGCAAGAGTTTCACGGATGAGAAGGATATTACGGGATGTAATAACTTTTCTGTGCACGTATTTTTCTAATACGCGTATTACACGGATATACGAATCCTTGTTCCGCGATAATACACAAACTGCTCGCAACTGGCTGAGCAATTTTGAAAATTTAGAGTTTGGTTGTTTGATCGTTTGGAAATTACGTCAATAATATTTAAGAGACTGTTGCATTGGCAACTGATGCATCGCAGTGCTTGTACAATGAGAATATTACGAAATTGAACGTGTATAGAAAACGTTTGTCATCGCAGCTCGATGACATCGATACTTTGCACGTGACTATCGTATCGATGTTGCATGCATAATTCTTTGTAACACTTGTTAGGCGGTACTTGAAAGGCGTATAGTCGGAAGACGTCGACAATGTCGCTTCACTTTCAACGTTGGACCACCTATGAAGATTATACGGTACATTCGTACTCGAGCAAAGTAGTTTTTAATAAGGTAAATAGGGAACGTAACATGACGGATAGTGCTTATAGATTTCGGATCGCGATCCACACACGATGTGCACTAATCATCATGAATGATGTATCATCCAATCTCCCTGGTATTATGGAACGAAGTTTAATAGGTGCCGCGAAACGTGCACGAGTCCCATAAGGGTCAGAAATCGTGAAGGTATTCCATTATTATTCATAGCTGGCGATCAGTCGACGAAGTGTTCAGCGACGAATCACGATTTTCTGTGATTATCTAGCGAGTCTTTTGCTAGACGTACACACCTGACTCATAAATATTCAACGATCTTCCTAATTAAGTTCGCTCTATGTTAATGAAGATATAAAACAAAGTATGTATGTATGTATCGAAACTAAGGTTCCGTTCGCTGTTTGATCTCGGTCGATCGAAAATGCCGCGATCCGGCAATATAGCAAGAGTCGACTGTCCACAGGTTTTCGTCATTAATTTTATAGATTGCATCTTAGGAACGAGTCGTGTCGCGCTTTTTCTCGCACCACCCCGTATCTCATTCGTGCATCAAAGTTCCGGCCGCCTACGCAGAGCTTTCGTGCCGTGTTTTCGCGATTCTGGCGATCCTAGAAATTCGAGATCGACGACGAGCCTGAGTACAAGTTGCCGCCGGTCGTAGACATTTCACGAAGTAGCAAAGCGAATATATTTCACGATACATCGCGGGCCGAAGAACGGAAATCCGCACGAGATCTTTAATCGCCAGTTTACAACTATCCAGGTACCGTTTATCATCGTGACATTTTGAGAATCTTTTTCGGCACAGTAATTTGTCTTGGACATCTTGCGTTTTGAATGTATTTTTACCGTGTCTGATAAACATCGCACTGACATTTGCAAACTAGTTCAATTTCGTGAGAAAGTAAAGTCACAGAGCAACTCCCCAGAGTTAATACATATCTTGGGATACTGACTACATTGTAACTCGATTTAATTGCTGGTGAGGAAAATTGTCCACGAAGTCTCGATAATGATCATACTCCAAGTGACGCGTAACGAGTATTTAAGCGGAGAATATTACACGGCCATTTAAGAATCGAACGAGCCAAAATGAAAAGTATAAGGTTCGTAGTTTGCCTGCGAGGGAATATTCCTTACCTACTAATTTGCCAGCGGAACCCAATCTCCATGCGAAGCATTTCAAATTGCAAATTAATCCAATTAGTCCAATAAGTTGCACCCCCTTGATTATGTTGATTTAACCGCATGTCTGACGGGCGAAACGATGCCGCAACATGCAATTCGATTAGTTTATGTACAATAACGAAGGTAGCCATTCAGCTTCTATTAGCTCGATTCAAATTTTCGTTCGTAATTGTCATTGTACATACAAAACGGAACTTATCGTACGTGGCATCGTAGAATTTCTTTTGCTCTACTATGTTGACGATTTGCTATCCGTTCCGTACGATCAATCCAAATTAATTATCCAATTATGCTGGCTACTCTAACTGTAAGTGTCAGAACGAAAGAATTAAAAATCGTGCAATGGTTCTGATTTTGCCACGGTCGAGTCGGAAGCGTGATGTCCGAGGACGATTTGCTAGAAACAGCTGGAGTAATCATTTCTGATGACACGGTTCAATTGAAAACAGTACGTGCACGTAACTGCTCGATCATGGCCAAAGGAAATTTCAACCGAGAAAGATGGAGTTTGAAATAAGGAAACGGATAGCGAGTGAACACGGCGAATTCATAAATTCCTGCGATTTCTCTATCTTTGTTTATACAATGTGTACCCTATGAAATGACTCTCGTGGAAGCTACAACCTCTAGCATTTCTATTTACGCAGGGCTAGTTACATGTAGGGTGAAAGGTTAAGCTAATGGCACTAGAGATAGTACCACGTTCGAAGGAACATACTTGACTCGGCTAAATTATAGTTCAGCGAACAGATAAACTCGCGTTCAGGCAACTTAAAGCGCAATATTTAACCTGGCGCTATTCGCGCATTTTGTATATTGGACTTGGTTTGTCAACGGATGAAATTATTTAGAATTAATGCGAAGACGTAGCGAATATTCGGTCGGTACTTACGTCCAGCCTTCCTGATTTAAAGCTCGAAAGTCTGGATTCGTTCGATTCGATTATTTCCGAGGAGAAATAACCGTACGACCGGAGGATTAAAACGACTTACCGTGAATATCATTCACGCAGATGCGAAGATCCTCCCGGAAGGTTGGCAGCCCGTAGTTGCATTGGCAGGTGCAGGTGTTGTTCGGAGGAACGAGTCCTGCGGTGGAAGGACTATGCGTGTAAGGACTGGCCGTACCGCTGCTGAGTATCGTGCATGCCTCTGTGCAGGATCCTAAACAGGTATAATTTGCAATTATTTCGAATAATTTAAGATCATATACCACGATAAAACAGTGAAAAATTAAACATTTTTGTCGAGCGTTTAATCTTCGATCGATGAAGTTAGGTCGATCGTAACGTCTTATGCAACGGTGCTTTCGCCGTAAAGCTTTCAAATTTTTTAACCGAGCGTCTTGGTATATTAGGAAAAAAGTGTTTAACGAAGCAGCGTGAAATGCATAAAATTGGAAATTAAAGTTGAAATTTAAATCATACGCTGCTCGTTTCCGTCGCAACGCCTCGCCGAAGAAAACTGCGATCACGAAAGAAACGCTGCGTTTATTTCGAGAAATGTGCGTGAAAGTTCTTTAATTTTGCAACCGTAGAAACTGCTGTCGTTTCACTCGTCCGCGGGAAAAACGCGAATAACTGTACACGCGCGTAATTCGAAGATGAATTTCTAAGATGAAGAAATTCGCTTGGTGGCGCGGGCGCGACGCACCGTCTGACCAGGCGAAATACACCTGTCAAACCGTTATATCGCGATTTCACGGTTAATACGCGCGAGCTTTTTTCTTTCGAACAGATTTCGTGCACGAGGAATTGTGTGCAAAATCTCGATGAAACTCACTCGTTTCTTCTCTCGTACGATTTCTTCTCGAAATATCAGATCCCGTACGGTTTCTCGACACTGCAAATCACGATTACGCGATTTACAGTTTCGTTCCATCGCGAACAGGAATAGAAGCGCGTTTCGAAGAAGTTTGCTTTGACGTCGTGTCGAGGAGAGCGAAAGAGGCGTATAATTGCAGTCGGTGCTTCGCTTACCTTCCAAGGTGAAAATGTCTCCATCGGAGTGCCTGATGACCGAAAGCTCTTGGCAACGTACAGTCTCGAGAACGTTCAAGCAGCCCACGAGGACCAGAACTAGAAGACGCATCTTCTACACAGCATTCTGAAACAAAGTGGAGCGAATTACTGTAAATTTTCATACTGGACATCAACGGGAACGATGTGGAGGATCGTTTATCTTTGGCCGTGAATAAATCAACTATTCCCCGTTGCTTCTTTTCGAAGTTTCCTTGTCCGCAATTATGTATTTCTTTCGTTCTATCCAGTTAAAACGGATGTTCATTTTCTGTAATCGTCGTAAGCAATTATTTATCTAGTAATTCTTTGACGTATTAGGGTTTGGTTGTAGGACATAGGAAGAAGCAGTCATAAAATTACAGCGATTACACGGTTAAAATAGACGTACAGTCTCTCGGTTGACTGGAATTAACGACACGAATTAATCGGCATTAGAAGCCTCTCGGTGATCAGCTGTTGCGGTGAACGTGTCGCGCGAACCTTTCTTGCTACTCGACAATGAACTGCTCGTGGCACTTAGGGAATAAATCTCCCCGATAAAAAAGTCGCGTGGCGAACTTCCTTGTGTCTCTGAATCATCTCTGTCAGCGAATTCGAAGCGACGAAAAGTTGCTTACTGTTATTCGTTAACGATTTAATGTGGCCTCGTTAATAAATCGCAATTTGCAGATCGGTAAAGGATTGTTCTCTTACCGATCTCTTTTGAAAACTGTTCTCTTTCTTAAACACGAGGGGTAAAATTGCTCCATGCGATAGCGTGTTTCACGAGTCATGTTACTTCCAGGGGCAAAAAAGTCCGCAAAGAATCTTCCTGCAAGCTGGAATGGTATCCCGAGCGCGTACACGATCGCGGTAAGCTGCATAAATTGCAGGTTCGATGCGTGTCGCGAGTAGCGCATCAACGCGACGTGTGTCCGCGTTATGCACAATCGAGCGGATGGCACGCGTAAGATAAGTTTGCCATCGATGGAAAACGTGCGACAAGAAGCGACGAGTTTCAGCGAAATTTCTGTATACTTTTTCGCTACCTTTGAATCTGTCGGAAATTCGGAGCAAACCCGATGAGGCATCAGCGAATATTTGACCGCTCCTAATTGAGGTAATTAGCGAACGGTTCGAGTGGAACGTTCGCGAATTCTAAACGAAGAGAATTAGCGAACTGAGGACCTGCAAAAAATCTGTGTTACGGTCGGAATAATGGACGATACTTCCCGGTATCGATAAACTACCTTATTTCCTTTTAATTGCCTACTTTTCGATTCCATGTTATGTGCCAATTGAAATTTACGGCACATTATCACGTTCTTTACGACTCTATTGATTCCCGAGAATCGACCGTAGAAGAAACGCAATAAAATGGTTTGCTAACTAAAAGAAACGATCAATTTGACATAATGCACGATATAAGTCATTATAAGAGGGACTAGAAAAAAGAATATTAATTTAGCAGTTAACGACCGCTACTGACAGTTTTATTGTCTTCAGTTTCAAAACTTCAGAATTTTGTAAATACGCGCGATTTTTATTGAATACACGTTTTTATATGCATAACGTTCAGTTGATTAATTCACCATCAAAAGCGGGCATTATCGTTGAGAAACTCGTCACTGTGAAATACGACTTGAACATAAGGTGGCACAGGTGTTGAGATCAGGATGCATTATTGTACGAAACGGAAACAAAATTTACGATCGATAAATAGCGTTTTACGAAACGATTACGGCAAGGCTTTTCGATTATCGTCCGTGAATTTATCAGCCAGAGAAACGGGCCGACATTAGCATATTTCGATAATAATTTGATATATTTGATTTTAATTCTTGATCGGGGTCACGGCTGAAATTGGCCGTAATGAAGCCGCGCGTGGCCAAGTAGATCGACGAAAAGAAGACGTTCCTTATGATAGACAACGATTCAGCGCGTAATTAGTCGAGTAAATTTGATAAAATCACGTTACGATCTAACGTTAGAGGCTGCCTTTTCACGGACACGCGTCGTCCGATGTTAATCGGTCACGTTCCCCAGTTGCGTGCTACGTTTCCGGTTTATAATCCGAGATTATGCAAAGCGAAGAGGTCGCGAACGAGCAAGGATGAAGAGCAGATCGTAGTACGAGATGGCACGTGATCGATTGCCAAGCGGAATAGCGCGTTCTGTGTCAAGGTAGATTCCACCGCGATTGCATCTCCGTCACGTGCTGTCTGGCAATACGGAATTCATCTTCCTTTTCGAATGTGTTCACTGTCTGCTTCGCAGGACATTTCGTAGACAATTACGATGCTTACAGTTCCTGAATTTCTCTACTGCATCCACTGTACGTATTTGTTTCGCTAACAAATAGAGAAAGAAAGAATCGATCACGTTCGACAGATGATTCTTCGAAATCGTCACGAATCATCATAGATTTCGTCACGGAAGATACACGTGTATCTGTTCGATCTTCCTGTTATTTACCGTTCGGTCCCTTTAATAAAAGACAAGGCATCGCAAATTTACCGAAGTGGTTCTTCGAAAGCCAGATTTATCCCGTTGCGAAGTGCAATGGTATTCCATTACATTTGTCGGTGACACACGAGCAAATCGAACCATTTGCAAATGCGAAACTCAACTTATTTTGAGATACCGCGTTCCAGGTGTATCACGCGCGATGACACTGGTTCAAGTGCTCGTTTTACAGGATGTTGCATAAAATGTAGGATTTACTTCGAAGATAGATACGATTAAGTTGAAAGCCTTTTAAAATCGGGGTCTTCGGTATTATCCTCGAGTTTTATCTTAATTTGCCGAGGCCTCCTCTTTTCTCGACCGAATGTGCGGATGTACTGTTCCTCTAATTGCTGGCATTAAAAACTATGAAGATCCTAAGCGAATATGTTGTACAAGATTGTAACAAGACGATGGTTCGATCGAATCGTGTGCACGAAATAACTTCCTCGTTTTCCGTCCAGCGAAACGCGTTCCCTATCCCATAAAACATTTTTCCCCTATTACGTTGTTAATCTCTCTATTGAAACCGGTGCGTTAGCGCATATTACATTATTAAAATACCGTTTCACGGAAGTTTCTTAGTCCTTGGACCGTTAGTTTTTGCGAAGAACGAACTGTCGCGATTACATCCCCGACACGATGTTAAATAATAGTACAAAATTACGTGGTTCGGCCTTACCCACGGTCGTAGCAGGTTACGTTCGCCTCGAACCCTTCCCTGGCTTAGCTATTTAATTCTAATCACCCTCCTTTCGCTCAACTTTCGTCCAAGACAATTTTAGCGTTCAGAAATATTTACTCACGCGATACTCGAATTACCATTTAAGATTAACATCGAGACAATAATGCCTCGTCCCCCATAGGGCCGTTATTCACAGGGACACCGTAATCGACACCGTACAAATGTCGGAGCACTTTCGTAATCCATTGTAAATTCCCAGCAAGGACGATTTCGACCCAAGTAATGCTATCGATTTACAACTTGTATACGAGTAACGCGTGTGTAGAGCACGTGTTTCCAGAGCAACGAGTATCACGATGCAATAGGAAGATGGTTCTGAACGGAAATGCTTCGACTATTGGACTGACCGTAACGAGGGACCAGAAAAATACTGTTATAGTATCTCCGACACGGTGTTCGAATTACCCGAACACGGTCGATTCGTTTCGTTTTTAAGAATTTAGGGTGAACTATTTTTCCGGTCAACACGAAACGAAATGTATCAGATTTGGTTTCAGCGTGTCTACTCGTAGAAAGCGGTTGTTATTCCGGTTACTTCTTGGATTTCTTGGGTTAACAAGTGTTGGATCGACTAGGAATCGAATCTTAAGCAAGCTCAATTGTCGAAACGAACGCTTTCCCTTTTCGATGTACCTTTTAACAGGACAAGTTGGAGATTCGAAAAATTCGTGTTGATGGAGCAGCGCGCTCGGTCGGGAAAGCTGCTTCGCCTTTTTATTAATCGATAAATTTCGGTAATTATGCAAATGATCCGGAACGTAATGTTTACGGGCCGTAGAAGAGTTTCGAACGGCGAAGCAAAATCGCAGGCAATGAACTTTGATAGTCGATGGAAATGGCACCATCTTGAGTTACTAGTGTTATATAAATCGAATAATTTCATCTTCAAATTTACCCTCTGCATGAGTTACGCTTTCTTAAAGAGAAAGCTTTGCCTGGGTTTAAACTTACGTCTCCAAAGTTGCACGTTAAAAATGCCATCGAAGAATGGTTTCACACCGTCAGCACCATAAACCCAGAGCAAACTATCGTAACGACTTCTGAAAAATGTGCGTAGAATCGAAAGAGAAACCGCTTCTCTGTTTGCAAATACACGCACGCTATTGACTAAGCTGCGTTCCCATCATCTGCTTCCTCCTTCTAATATTTGTGAACTTAAACTGTCTTCCGACCCTCCTAGAAGCTGCCAGTTTGTTCACTTGTTCAAACTGGCAGGTTGTCGAAGAGAAACTCGACGGAATTCCATTTCGATCGAAGCATCGAGCGAAAGTCGATTATTCATCTGGGAACAAACGCGAGTTCAACGTCTTCTCGATCGAGTAACGAGCGAAACAAGAACGACACTTTCTTTGGCAACTAAGTAAATTTCGACGAACATCGCGTAGCCGTAAGATCGTTTAAGAACCGTTCGTTGACACGTTCGAACGTGGCATATGGTAGACGGGTGATTCTATGGATGAACCATGAAACGTTTCGCCTTAGTAAAACGTGGGTTGCAACTTCATCGCGAGTCCTGCACGACAACGTGGTCATTGTAGAATTCTATTATAATTAATTGCTTTCTTCCCGGAGCCTCGATGAAGTATCGCGAATATTTAATGAGCGACGGTCGTCCCCAAGTTAATTTTCGCTACTTATGCTCACGCGAAGCAGTGATATATTGCTTCGAACGGGCAAGCTGCATAATTTATAGGATGACGTAGCGGTAAACGGACAACGGAACACGTGAAATCGTAGATTGTGCAATAGGTAGAACCACTTTTATCCAATGATCATTGTGCAGGGAACGAATGCAACCCGCGTTCGCTGTACTCGCATCCGAATCAACGACCCGCGACAGGTACATCGAACTATTT